TCAACTCCCATTGGGCCCAGTCACCAGAGTCAAAGACCAAAAATGCCTGGAACTGTAGTGTGAAAACACATTGACAACCTTTGCCTAGAGAAGGCTAATTCTCTAGGGCTTGCTCCCTCATAAGATGGAAGCCTCCGGACTCAAAAGCATCCGTATATGCAATGTCCTGCTTCCTGATGTTGGCAGGGCAGGCGGAGTGGCAGAAGTGATCTTTACCTCTCCATCCTCTGCTATTTTAGCCTGTCTAGTAAAGGCACCAGAGCAACCTATCTAGTGAAATGGGGAGGAAAGGAAGCCAGAAAAACTTCAGGATAACTTATATCCTGGTCTCACCATTCTCCTTCCCTCCCCACCCACTGGAACTGACTCTCTCCCCCCACCCCCTGCCATCTTCAGAGACCAGCTGGTGTGGTTCCTTCCATGCTGGCTGCAGGGGGGCAGGGGAGGGAGGCTGAACCTCTGACTTCCCTTCCTCTAGTTTGGGAGGAGGGAATCTTCGGTGTCTGAGAGATCAGTCCTGGGAAGCCTCTACAATATAATGGACATATTCAATTTGCCTTGCAACTAGAAAATACATAGTATCGGTTCACAAGGGGGACAGATTGTCTTTCAACGCCTCTCCTGGGCTAACTGCATACAAAGAAGATGCAAAGGACAAGAGTACTAAGATCATCTTCACCTTGCAGTTACAATGGAAAGCAGCAAGGGTCATCTCTTCTATGTACCTGCCAGGTGATCTGAGGTACCCAACCTGGTGATTGCTTGCCATGGCTTCCATAAGATGACTTCTGCCCTGCTCATTGTACAGCATGAGGATAACAGGCCTACCTTAGCCAAGGCATGCAATGATGCTGAGATGTAGGGCTAGCTCCAGGTTTTTGAGGGTCTTTGGGAAAGCCGCCTGAATGGAGTTTTCCTCAATGAGTCTACATTCTTGCCGCCATTAGCACAAGCTGCTCTTGCACCTCTTCCTCATTTATGCATTTATTGCATTTTTAGACCACCCAATTGCAGAAGCTCTCGCGCTGCTACTTGCTTCCTTCACAAGCAAAGATCCAATGAGCAAGCAGGCAGCAGCCTCTTTCTCACCACCATTGTCTGAGCCAGAATGTGAGGCAGGTGAACAAGAATGCCGTAGTCATGAAGAATCACGCCAGTGGGCCTTGTTGAAGTAGGCACCTTCAGCAGGTGCCCCCTGTGCCTGCCTCCCCCATCATTGTTCTTGTTGAGTTATGATTCAAGAGTCAGCATCCTTGCCTGTGTTGGCAGGATAAAGGACTGCCATCCTTAATGAATGCTTCTTCAGCCAAGGTGAAGTTCATCTCCTTTTACAAATGTGTGCAGACTTTTGCCCAATAACTTTTGAAAGCCTGGGAATGAGGGGATGTTGTTCCTGACTTTGCTGCCCTTCAGTCTTACCTCACCTCATCCCTTATAGAACCAACATAATGTAGGGAGAGTGAAGTGTATTCCTTCTGGAGCTTAGTCTGAACTTTCAGGGAGCTATCTATGGTGCTGAACTCTATCTCCCAAAGAGTTCTGGTGCCATGGATAGCTTCTTCAAAGTTCTGACTACAACCAGGCGTAGACGGAAGGAAGAATTAAACACCTTCTCTCAAAAGAGTGTTCCCTTAAAGACTATCTAAAAGTCAATGTGAATCAAATGAATACAAATTCACACTCATGCACTGCTTTGGCATTTGGATTTCGCCACCGTGATATGAACATTTTAAGATTATTATTTCTAAAAGGATCTCTGAAATGATTGCTGTGTGGATCCCCTTAAAGAATTATGGGGATTATCAACACTGTTCTAAATATAAAAGGATAACAGCCTGGTTAAGCTCCCGGTGCTTATTACCTAACCCTTGCATAATATCCTAATGCCTTCCACATCCCTTGTTTTTTTATGGGCACAACAGTCTCTGCTGCCTGAGTGCAAGGGCAGTGGACTTTGATGGTCTATGACTATAGAAACTAGACTGTTCTTACCCAATTGTACAATTTCATGTAGGGTTTTATTCCTATGGGAATTCTATGATACTGCAGTCATGTTCTCAACTGCAAAATTTGAAAATTGATGCAAATAATTCTTTCTGTTCTGTTCTTTTCAAAAAGCAAGAGGTTGATCCAATCCTGCATGTCAGTGTCCCCTTCTCCTTCCCACATGTAGAATTCTCTGCAACTGATACCATCTCTTTTTATCATGTGCTGGCCCCAAAATTCAAACAGCTTCACAACAAAGCTTTCTCGGGAGAACAAAATGGGAGATGCTCAGTTTCTCTCCCTACAAAATAATTTTACCGCATCTCTCCAAATATACTCAAAAGAAAAAATCCATTTTTGGGGTGTGTGTGAAATGGCTGATAAATCATCCTTGGTACTTTGTGGTAGCCCTGCTTTCCCACAGAAGGAACTCTTCAACTTCCTTGGAAGGTGTTAGAAGTTTTTTCTCATAGGTTGCTTACCCTCATGTGCCCACAGTTTTCCTTGGACAGCAAAGGTACCCCATCTTGTTCTGGTCCTGCCTAGCCTTAAGAAGCATATAGTCTTACTTGCTAGTAGAAGGTTCCTTCTCAGCCCATTCTACAGCTATTGATGTAAGCAACCAACTGGCACGGGTCAACTCACAGGAAGATTCTTCTAGCAATACCGCTGGGAGAGGTCATCAGGAGCTGTGGGCTGTGGAATCATCAGTACGCTGATGATACCCAGCTCTACCTCTCGTTTTCCACCAATCCAGGTGAGGCAGTGGCTGTGCTGACCCAGTGCCTGGCCAAGGTAATGGGCTGGATGAGGGCCAATAAACTGAAGCTCAATCCAGACAAGACGGAGGTCCTGTTGGTGGGCAGATCGGGCTTCAGGGAGGGTGGATTGAACCTAGTCCTGAATGGGGTTGCACTCCCTCTTAGGGACAAGGTTCGCAGCTTGGGAGTGCTCCTCAACCCAGAGCTTTCACTGGAAGCTCAGGTGACAGCGGTGGCGAGGAGCGCTTTCTTTCAGCTTCGACTGATCCATCAGCTGCACCCCTACCTGGAGTATGACTGCCTGGCAACAGTGACACACGCGTTGGTGACTTGCCGACTTGACTTCTGTAACACGCTCTACGTGGGGCTACCCTTGAAGATGGTCTGGATACTTCAATTGGTTCAAATTAGAACTGCCAGGTTGCTGATGGGGACTGGGCGTTATGTTTACATGACTCCAGTCCTCCGTCAGCTTCACTGGCTTCCCATTGAAGTCCGGGCCCAATTCAAGGTGTTGGTGATGACCTATAAAGCCCTAAACAGCTTGGGTCCTGGTTACCTGAAGGAGCGCTTACGTCCATATATGCCTGCCCGTCCCTTGAGAACTGCGGGAGAGGCCCTTCTCCGGGAACCCTCCGTGAAGGAAATTAGGAAGGTGAGTACTTGGAAGAGGGCTTTCTCTGAGGTGGCGCCCAATCTATGGAATGCGCTCCCCGGAGAGGTCCACCTGGCGCCGTCATTATTTGTTTTTCAGTGCCAGGCGAAGACCTTTTTATTCAAATGTTATTTTAATTGTTAATATTATTTATTCATTTTATTCTTTGGCCAGGGCGACTTAATTTATCCTGTTAATTTATATTATTCTATTGAAGTTTATTTATGGTTGTGAGCCACCCCGAGGCTTTGGCGAATGGGGCAGCATAGAAGTCTCCTAAATAAGTAAGTAAGTAAATAAATAAAATACATTAAAGCTCAGATGCTCCATAAGGCACGACAGAATCAGGACAATGTGGGACATCTTTGCTTGTCCCAAACATTCCATCCTCCCCTCTCAGGCTCTGAACATGGAAGACCAAGGAGAACTGTGGGTGTATGGAAAGGAAGTTTTACAGTTTGTGATGTTACATGTCGTCCTCACTAATCACAGGACACATCAGTTAAGGCAACACCTTTAACTTCCAGTTTCCGGCCTTTTTGAATTTTGAGCCAACATGGAATAGCTTTAACTCTGTCTTAAACTGGCAGGATCTTTTGTTTTTCATAATTGATACAACCTTATATATATGCATGTTGTTTCATGTATTTTAGTTAGAGAGCCAGAATTTGAATTTGAATTTTGATGGGTATGATTTAAGTTTGCATTAACTTTCTATTAGCATGTTATCTAATATCTTCTATTAAATTAATTTCTAATTTAACTAATATCTAATATCTTCTATTTTTATTTGCTTTCTGATGGTCTGATGCTTATATATAAATTTATCTGATTAGATTTATCCTATTGCCACATAATAAGCAAACATAAATCAGACTGCATAAGAAAAATCCCTGAAAATAAAATCAGTCTGAAGGTGTAAGCATGTACGGCTTATTCAAGAAAAAGATGGTCAAATTTTCCTTCTCACTACACAGATCTCAATAGCTTGCTTTTATAGAAATGCAGCATGCTAACCTTGGCATTACTAATGCATTTTTACAGAATATTTGACAGACATTTTTGAATTCTTTGTCTTTGGCATCTCACCCTGTTGGTTTTGGCATTTGTTAATTTTCAACTTTTTTAAAAATTGTGCATCCTTGCAGCTGTGTTATGATATACCATCTTTCTGTTTCCCATTCTATAGATAATCTTAATGCTGCCAGTTCACAAGAAAGAGCGTGCCTTTATGCTTTGCATTTTCTATATTAGTTTTCCATGACTTGATAAGTTTGCCTTTTAAGATGCCCTAGGGCAGAGGTATGTTTTTCCTATGAAGGGCTATTGCCTCACAGGAAAAAGCACTTGCGAACCGCAGCCAATGATGGGTAGCATTCACAGCATTACAGGGCTCTTGTTCTTTCTTCTTGCCTGCCCATTTGAAATTATTTCACAGGTTACCCCAGGCCCACTCCAAGTCTAAGGGAATTTCAATGCAAGGTACTTTCCAAATAATCTTATATTTCTTTTGAATAGATGGCCCACATTTTAACATTATTGCTAGAATAAATGAAAGACTGCTCATGTTACAAATCTACATTTCTCTCCTTTCTTAGGATGGATTTATTGACTTTTTGGAGTTTATAGCTGCAATAAATCTGGTCATACGAGGGAAAATTGACCAAAAGCTGAAATGGTATTTTAAGCTATATGATGCTGATGGGAATGGAACTATTGACAAAAGAGAACTCGTAAGCATATTCTCGGTAAGGAAATTGTATATATTATCATATATATGCCATGAAGAATTCTATGGGAATTCAGTTATTTAAACATATCAGTGCTTTTGATTGGAATTTAATGACTGCTTCTATAATGATGTGGTATTTGTATTTATTATGTATGTGGCCCTGAGGTAATGGGGTGATAATATTGTCACTATTTTTCTTTCTTCAATGGATCAATGGGAAAGAAGAGCATAGGCCTAAACTGAGCTATTATCATCTCCCCTAATGGGGTATGAGAAAGAGTCAAAAGATGCAAGTAAAGATCTAAGAGCTAGTATCAATTAGCACCTGGCCTCTTTGTGGGGCTGACATGGTCCAGTTACCTGGCCGGGTCCACAGATCATACAAAGACTACGTCAAAAGTCCTCATGAAGCATTTTGATCTGTCCCCCGGAGATTTGGAGGGGGTGGAAGAAAGCTTGCAAAGAGGGTGAATGTTAACTGGGGCTGTTTTTTAAACTTACAATCAGGTGAGGTGGCTGAGATCTCCTTTATTTGTATTATTTTTGTTTCCCTTTAAAAAAGAGAAATTGGGGGTGGCTGTCTGTTTTTTTGGACAATGCCATGAAGGTGACACACTACCATTGCACAATTTGGTTCCCAGGGAGGAGCATAGTCACTCGGGCATTTTCAATGTGCATAGCATGGACCAAAGCTACTTGGTATTTTCAAATGGGTTTTTAAAGGAGAAGAACACAGGAATGCTCAGCTATCCCTTTGAATTGTAAATAGACAAGTCTCACCCTCTCCACAAGTGAATTATTTTCTGGCCCATTTCTATGAAGTTGTCAGAATTTTTCCATCCCACCTTCCCAGGTGAAAGAGAGAGCCAGTGTCCAGCTATCTCTGATACCTGCCTGGGCCCTTTCTAAAAAATAAACTGACCTGACTCTGAGCAGGACAAGTGAGCTGAAACAAGCCATCCATTTAATTTCTCACTAGGCCCCACCTTAGAGTCTGCAATATTTAACTATTTAAACCCAATTGCCCAGTGTTACTCAATGCATTGCCACTAAGATTATGACTCTCCAAATTGTTGCATTCCTGGATCTCTCTATTAGGGCAAGATTCCCACATTATGAGGGGTTCTGGTACCTATTCTGGTGTGCACACTGTTTGTTTTGGGAGCCAGCCAGGACAGACACCTTCTGGCTGGCTTATTGAGACTGAATATGCCCCAAAAAAATCTATAGGTCCAAGATCAGTCATTTGTGTGCGTGTGCATGAAAAATAGGCTCAGAGGATTGTGGATAGGACTGTAACAGCTGGACTGGGGAAGAGTACTTGGCAAAGTCCTTCCCTACAGCCTTTTTGCATGCAAAAATCACCCCTTAAGCAGATTTTCTCTGAGGAAGGGGTATGGAAATGCCCACCCACCCATGGGAGGACAGCAGTGAATGTAAATACATCCTTTCTCCATTCCAGCCACTGCAATCAGTCACAGTGCCTTGAGCTTAGTTTAAGTTCTTTTATTTAGTCTTGCATAGCAGCAGCCAGGAGCCTAATCAGTTAAAGGCTGCACACTTTTAATCTAGAGAATAAATGCTATGTTATTAACTGAACATCTCACTTGACACACTCTCCTATTTTCCTTGCATCTGATACGTCTCTCTGCCTTCACTGCATATTATTGGCTGAAGGGTGTGGAGTGGGCCAGAGTTACACTGAACAGTCCTGTCACATCAGGTGTTGTTAATACTGAATGTCACACCTCATATCTCAACCATGTGGTCTAATCTGGCCCACTGAAAGAGCCCAATCAAGCATTCAGAAAAGGCACATAATAAAAATCTGCTGGGATAATACTATACCACTTCTGATGTAGCTTTCTTCCTAATGTGCCAATTTACTGTGTGTGTGGTGCTTTGACATGAGATATTAAGACAATAAGATATGTTATGGCCCAACTTCATTTGAACATCTGCAATGCAAATATAAAAGGCACGTTACTGGAAACGTATGTTCTCTTTTTAAATTGTTCCTTCTACTTCCCATCCTTTCAGTGTGCATACACACCAATGTGATTCTCCAAGGTACATTATCTGTGCTGTGCTTAAGTTATGATACTCACTTCATTAGGGGGATTAAGTCAAGCATGATTTTATTTGTGATGAGAAAAGTTGCTTAAGCCTTCATACCATGAACATACAGCTGTATTAGATAATCCTGAATTTAAATAACACAGAACACTGCAGAAGACTCAAGTCCTTACACAGGATAAAAATGCAATGCAGTTGCATTTCAGAATAAATCGCATGAACTGATTGGACCTTGAATAATATGCAAATTAAATCCATAATCCTTTAGGCCCTGTCATACTAATTCAATTTCTAATTTCACTATTGGCAATCTTACTAGAAATCATATATTTACTCTCACCTCCATCCAAAACGCGTGCATCAATATGGTTAACTATCATTTATCTTTGCAATACAGAAAAGTTGACGTGTTTGCATTTTTATTTCTTCAGGCTATTCAAGCTATCAATGGCAACCAAGAGATGTCTCCTGAAGCCTTCACAAATATGGTATTCCAGAAGATAGATGTAAACAATGATGGTGAGGCTGTAGAAACCTTCAAATACTGTTTTTCCCACAAAGAGATTTGTTTAAGTTTTTATAAATGCACTTTGCTGATTAAGGCCACACATGGCTAGAAATATACTTACATCAGAGTCAGGCCTTTAGTTTGATCCAGTACTGCTCTTTTTCAGTTCTTACGTTGAAGTGCCTGGTTTACACTGGTCTATGTCTGCATAAGAACATGTCCATGTGAGTGCTGGCTAAAGTATGCACATGTGTGCTTGCTCCCTTGGCCAAGCCTGTCGTTTCGGCTGCAACGGCAGTGCCAAGTCCAGACCTGACCCATCTCTCTGTGTGGGGTAGACAGCCAGGAATACAAGGGCTGGGCAGAAAAGTATGCTTATTTCATCCGTCACATTCATATTTCAACTTGCCTCCATAGATTGCAGGCTGAAATAAAGGGATTCCTTTTTACCTTCACAACAAGTATGACAGGTACTTTAGACTGAAAGAAAATGGGCCTGTTCATATGATCACACAGAGGGATATATGCCACAAAAATTTAGGGAAAATGGCTTCATTCATATTTATATTATATTATTATATCATATCCCAATTTTCTTCCTGTAAGGAACCCAAAGTGGCGTACATGATCTTTGTCTTCCATTCCATTTAGCCTCACATCAAGAACAGTGTGTGATAGGTTAGGCTGAGAGTCAGTGACTGGTCCAAAGTCACTCAGTGAGCTTCATGGCCAAGTCGGGATTAGCGTTAGGGTTAGGGTTAGTGTTCAGATTAGAATGCAAAATCCCCTGAGTCCTAACCCAACTCTCACTAATACACCACACTGGCTCTCTTGTTGCATAATTATATGCATTGGTGTGGCTTGCCATGTCCTGTGAAGCCAGAGAGTGGCTAATGCTTAAAGGGTCAATGGGATCTGGGGGGGGGGGGGCACTCCTAAACTATGGCAATATGCCAGATTCACTGGGTTTGCAGAACACTGTAAGCTGTACCAGCAAATTATGTAACACAGACACCCCCCAACACATGAGGCAGGAGAAAAGCCATTGTGGTTCATTTCCCCCTCCATGGTCATGTGTCATTACAGCTGAGGACTAAACTATGCAGTCATGTCTATCTCTGGCTGTGTTATTTACTTATTTATTTATTAACCACCAATAAGCCTGAGAAAGCAAGGAATTCGATGGGATAAGAGGTAGGACAAGGTCTGCTTGCCTCTCAGAGATTTTTCCCCAACACATACACAGAGCTGTTTTTCATCCCACTGTAGCAAATAGAAGGCATCACGTTCATGCTGCATCAAAGAAGGATCACTGTGGCCTAAGTCTAACATTCTACCTACTCATTACACCACACTGGTTCTCTTTTTGGTCTGCCCTCTCAGCATGTATAGTGCAGGATTCAGACTTGCAGCAAACATATTCCCAAATCATTATTCATAAGCATTTTTTCTCAAAGTGAATGGAATGCTGAATGTAGTCAGGGTCCCTGCTTATGTGAAAAAACTCTATGTGCATGTGTACGTATGCATGTAGTAGAGTTCCTTCACCAGGTACCATGTTTATCTAATACAGAGGGGGTGTGACCCATGTTGCAACCTGTCACATGCTTTTTTTAGAGCATGGAGAAAGGTGAACTGAAACCCTGCCCCCCAGTCTTGGGAGATTCCAGAGCCAGAAAGTTGTAGTTACATAGACATGTAATGCAATGTGCCATCCAAAGTTCAGTAATCAAAGCAGACAGTCCTTGCACACCATCTATTTGACAAATTACTGTGATGTGTCCCTCTCAGACATTTAGCAGTATAAACATATAAGGTCTGCTTGCATTGGCTGCCAGTATGCCTCCAAGGGCTGGTTTTGACCCTTACATAGCTTGAGAAGACAACACTTGATGGAGAACGTCTCCCAACCACAATCAACCTGAACACTACCGTCATCCATTGCCTTCTCCAAATGCCAGTTCCAAGGGAGGCCTGAAAGGCAGCCGCAAGGGGGAGGGCTTCTCAGTGGCAGTCCTCCAACTATAGAATGGTCTTCCCACTGAGGGTCACTTGTCATCCTTTCAGTGTCAAGATTAGGCAGCCCCACATGACAAACCATTTAAAAACATCCAGATATATTTAATGGCTTCAGACTGTGCCCATTCTATGTATTACAGTCTACTATTTATCATATATTATTTTAGATGTTTTTACATTGTTTTTAAATTGTTTTCATATGCTGGAAATGTTTATGTATTTCAATGTACTGTCTGGTTTATGAACCATTGTAAACTCTTCAAAGAGACTGACCTACTGGGCACTATGCAAATGAAATGAATAATAACTATACTTTAATAATACTTATAATTTTTGATTATATTAATAATAAATAAATACCTTTAAATTTTCACCTAGGCATTGCCAAGTCTTAAGACTGCTTTATAAGGGTTGTAGTGATGAAACAGTATTTCCCCTTAATTCTGGCTGTTACTTAAGAAAGTTATTCATCTGCTTGGACACTAGAGAAAAGAAATTACAGAAAGGAAAGTAGGAAGGAAAACAGGAACTCTTTTATTTAGAAAAGCCATGTGTACGGGAGCACTGATTCCAAAGACGTCTGGGAGTGCCAGCATGGTGACCACTTATATCCACACAGAAACGTCAGTTATCAAGAGCACATGTACTTTCTTATTATGATTGCATACATAATGAGACTCAACACCAGCACTGCTGATAATATGTGTGTGACAGTTATTACGGGTGCAGATCTCTCAATTGGACAGGCAACAGGAACCTGTCGTTGCTAAAAATAGCTATACAAGGTATTGTGCTCTATGTCAGCTGAACTAGAAAACAGGGAATTGAAACTTTCTTCATCATAGTATTCCTCAGAGAAGAATTTGGAGCTGAAAGGTCTCATTTTTGGAATAGTTCAGTCTATGGTCACTTGTGCTGATTCCCAAATTCTTATGCTTTCATTCTAGGGGAACTGACTTTAGAAGAGTTCATCAATGGAGTGGAAAGTGATGAACAACTCCTGGAAATGATTTCAAAGAGCTTTGACCTTTCCAATGTTCTGAAAATTATACAAAGTGGGAGAAGACACAGTGTCTAAGATTTTCATACTGTAAATGGAACTTGTAATAAGGACAACGCAAGGAACTTACTGCATATCAACACAGAATGTTACATTTGCCATCCACTGTTCAAAACATATGAAGATGGAGGAGGGACTGTCACTTCAGAACTGTCTCTCATCTGTGTTCCCATTTTTTTCTACCCAGTGGATGTGGCAGCCAATGTGAAAACACAAAATTTTGTCTACATACATCATAAAAGTGATTAGTGCCGTAGAAACAAACACTGTCTATCAAGACTTATAATGTGGGAGGGAGCAGAGAGAACTATAAAAAAATAGACTTCTCCAGAAGATGTAGAGTTGATAAATTTCTTCTTTTATGTACTGTTTGTTTATTTACAATGTGATTTTAAACTGCTAAATAGGATTGGCTTCCTTCTAGATCAATTAAGGATGAAGTATGGTTTGCATTAACTTAACATTTACACTAATCAGTGCTTAAAATAGGAATGGATTATCTGGGAAACACCTCAATCAGTTTATGGCTCCAAAGATACATAACCACTTGGAAAAGCTGTTTATCACTTTGGTATTATTATTACTTCTGTAAGTTGATGTGAATTACACCTTTGAAGTTTCAACTGTTTTGCCTTTAACATCAAAAATGAAACAAGCCCTATTATGGCACAGGGTTTTTCTGTTTTTGTTTTTTTGGATTAACCTTTTTCAAGAAGCTTTACATTTGTGATGGAATGACATCATTTCGGGAAAATAATTAAAACTTCAGAGGAGGCATTTCAGTGGCTTTAGTGATCAAAGATTAATTCCAGGACTTTAAAAGGAAATTAAAGTTCAAAATAAAGCTAATTCATACAATCCCCATCTCCTACAGTTTATAACATTACAAGCTGATTACCTTAAGAATAAATTCAAATAAGTTGATCAAACTTTGGGGAAATACAAAAGATTTGCTATGATCACAACTTCCATGCTCCTTACAGAATCATAGAAGAGTTGAAAGGAACCAGACACCATCAAGTCCCTCTCCCTGCTCAGTGCAAATTAAACCATTCCTCTCTGATGACTGTCTAGTTGCAATTTGACAGCCTCTAGCATGGGAAAAATAGAATCATAGAATAGTGTTCTAGAGGAATAGCAAGTAGCTTTCTCTACTAGTTGGGTTTCAGCCACCTTAATGCACAATTAAACATTGTGCTCATGTTTGATTGTTGGCCTGACTCTTATCACTATTTTGGATTCTTACCCAATTGTCTGTGTTTTGTATTTCCTTCATCCAGCTTTCTGGTGCAACAGCAGCTGCAGAAATCATTGCCTTCCCTGGGCAGGAAGCTGTTTTAAGGACATTTTGGGGTTAAGACAGATTTAGGGCACTGATAGGCAGATCTGTTAGTAAAGCTGTGAAGATAGAAAGAAACCATTCTGAATCCACTTCCTATTACATCAATCTTGTTCTTGTTTGTCCTGTTCTGTGGGACAAACACCTTGGTGATCATTTTCTCAGAAGCAAAGTATGTCATCTACACAGCTTGCGGGAAAACCATTCCAACGAAAGCAGGAATGATGCAAAACTTCTCTATTTATTCAAATTATGCTGAATATTTAGAATGCACTTAAACTCTCAGTGTGAATTCTGATTTTGCAGAATTCACTAGCATCCAAAATCAAGCTTGAGTCAAGTTCAGTCTCACACCTGAATTCTCCAAGCCTGCCGGTGTATTATGGATTGGCCACTCTGTCTTATATGTCATTCTCCAATGGTTTCACTTGGAATTGAGTGCCCTTGGTTATTTCTTTATTTATGTATTTAAAACTTTTATACACCACCCCCATTACTGACATCTCGGGATGGTACCGTCCTTCAGGTAGGAATAAAAATGTCTTCTAACACTGCTCAGGAAGAAAATATAAGCTCTGGATAGCTTGAGCTAGAAATCAACTTTTGCTTAAATGCAATGCAAACAGCTTTTTTCCTTCTCTAAAGTCAGCCTTGCTTTTATCTGCAGGTCCGCTACAAATACATGGGAAAATAAGTAGACACATGAAACAGGGCTGAATTTTAGGTAAGATTGACAGTAGCACAGTAATGAGAAAAAAGGAGTGGTGGGAAAGACACGAGGTGTTGCTTTGAGCTCTGACAAGACCAGACCTAAGGGCTTGTCCATGCCAAAAATACAGGGCCCTGGCAGTATCCCAAGCAGAGACTGCATCTTGAATCAGCATCAAGAAATGTTTGAATTCTTTTGCAAGTAGCTGAAGGGATAACAATTGTGTCAGATGGGTGATCAAACCTGAGAAATGAAACTGGGGGAAGAGTTCGTGATTAAAATTTGTTACTTGCTTTCAATGCTACTTGACCTCTGTCTACCTGCATATGAAACACACCACATCTTCTCTAATTATTTCACCAGTAGTTTGATCAATACAGCAGAAATCCAGTGTATGCAATGTATAATTTGACATTATAAGCAGTGTTGACATTCTAGCTTTGACATTTAGATCTTTTCCTCTCTTCCCCCGCTCCTATTCCATGGAATAAATGTGAAATATTTTTTCATTTTTTGTTTATTCAACATAGATATATACATATAGAATTGCCTCAGTATTTTTTTTCCAGCTGAGAAACAGATACAATATAGAGCAGAAGGGACAAAAGTATAAATGAAAGTTATGCAGCCATAATGCATGTTCTACAGAAATGGATGGGAATTGTAGAACACAGCACCCATACAGCTGTAGTTTGCATCCTTTATTGGGGCTTTCAAAGTTATTTTCCTGTTTGACTGGTGGTTGTGATTTGAAAGACAATGTGCAGACTAGAGACACTTCTATTAATGATCTGGGTCATTAGACTAACATAAAATTATATTTTTCTGGACATTTAAAAAAAAAGTAAGAGGTTTAATTTTTGAGTGAGAAGAGAGACAGAGATGTGTCCAACTGGTAAAGATCTATTTATTTATACTTTATATTTTGTAAACCACTGTGTAAAGTTGCATACCCCAAAAGCAGTATGTATGCAATGGTTTTTTAACATGCATATACTGTTTTGAGATTATACTTTTCAGACTAATTTTCACAATGCTAAAAGGATACCAAACTGATAAATACACTACTTATACAAAACAACAAAATGAATTCACAGCAGATGAGCGACTGAAAGCCAGATAAACCCATCAGTCAAAACTAAGGATCTTAAAAGGACTGAGTGAAAAAGTAGTCTTTATCATCTAAATGCTTAAATGCTAACAGAGATGGTGTCAGAGAGCTTCCCTGGAGACATACTAAGAGAAGGTCATTCATCTACTGTGGGTGGCATTTTCTGTATTCATTTTTAGCCTAAGTCCAGTTGAAACAAGAAAAATATATATTTTTTGAAAAAGAATATTTTTCAGTGTGATAGTATCAAATCTTCAGGGAAGTTCTCAGGTTCAGAAGAAAACATAATTTGAATCAGTATAGATGCAAAGTATATAGCTTGCTGTAAAGTTTTGATGTTTTCATACTTTTTTGCTGAACAGACCATTTATAAATTGTAAGCTCCATATTTATTTTTATTTTATATATTCTTATTTTTATATACTGCCCCATTTCCACAGGCTCTGGGCATAAGAGATTAAGTCCAATAACAATTCATATTTAAACTAAAAATAAACCTATTAAATAAAATGAATCTGGGAACTAATCCAGGAAAGCCTGTCAGAAGGAATACATCTTTAACTCTCTCTTGAAAGTAGCAATATGGAATATCTGACACATCTCTCCCGGCAGGCCATTTTACAGTTTGGGGCAACCACTGAGAAAGTCCTCGAGGTAGTTCACGTTAATCATGCAGAAGCAAATTTCAGGAAATGATCCCCAGAGGACCTCAGCAGATGAGGCGGAATACATGGGCAAATGCACTCATGAAGGTATTTTGGACTGGAGCCATGAAGGATTTTAAGGGTAATTGCCAATAGCTTCTACCACATCCAGAAACATAGTGGAAGACAATGCAGAGATATTATTATTGGTGAGATATGGTCTCTCCGTGATGTCCTATAGACCAACCTTGCTGCCATATAAAATAAGAATTGGGCAAATACTTCAACTGTACATAAATTTAACTGGGAGTAATTCCCACTGAACTCGAAGGCTCTTAGTTCAGGGTAGGCATGCAGAGGATTTCAACCTATCCTTTTTAGCAATGCAAACTGCAGCCACAGAATGCTTGATCTGGACAGGGACTTCAGTGGGAGTTAAAAGTGTTGAAGCTCTACTACTCCTTACCATACTTGGGCTCCAGCCCAGATCTGTTCCATACACCGCCAACCTGTTGAAAAAGCAAAAAACAATACCTGCACTCAAGGCCAGAATTACACGGCTAAGGCATGTGCAGCTTAGCATTTTTATGGGTTGGGAAACCTCAATGTCTTGAAAAACTTTCTGAGTGAAAAGTATATATTATTTTTAAGGTACATCTTTTACTGTATGTTTTCAAATTTTTATGACACTACTTCATTTTTGGAGCAACTAAAAGGAACTAGTACAAGTGAGAAGAATAGCACTACGACCTGCTAAATACTCATTCCACTGGATAATCCAATGATTTCATTGTTCTTACATGCTTACCTGAGTGAGAAATAAATGTTCTATATGTTTTAATTGTTGGTTACAACTTGTGTGCTATTCTAACATGTATGTCCTATATAATGGTAAATTACAAGCTTAGAAGGGGAAAGAGAGAGGGGTTTTGACACTGTAAACACTGCATTGACTAAGTGGAAAATTCTGTGGAGGGGAATCTAAGCCTCCAAACTCAGATGCTTATCCAGTGCAAATCAGGCGGAACAGCAGAGAATTCTCTTCGCACAGAATTCTGAAGAGAAGAGCCAGAATTCTGATTTAAATTACAGTTAGGATTGTGAGTTAGAAAATATGACATTCTGGACTGAGCCCTTGGGAAGGAAGTAGAAGCATATCAGGCTCTGCAAAGCCTCTGCAGGATACAACATCCTTTTCCCAGGCTTTGTACATCACAGAAGGAAGCAGCCTTGTATTTAACAATTTGTCTGGCATCACCACAGGCAACAAGGACTTTCATGTAGGTAGGCTGGTGTACAAGACACGGATCTTTCCATGTTTCTTTGCCAGTTCATTTTCTTTCACCATAGCTATGCAGACCACAAAGAAAGAGAAACCCCTATCCTCTGTAGCTTGTATGGAGACAGCATACTAGCCAAGGAGTGGTGGATTACTTGAGCACCTTGTTTAGCAGAAAAGCAGTTTTGCATTAAGTAAGCTGCATTTCCATGGTTTCCCTGCTCCATGGCCAGCAAGGAAACACTGGCAAGTTAAAATCAAATTGTAGACTAGTAAACTCGGTGGACTCACTACTCACAAGGCTGGAATAGAGAATCAAGCTGCTGAAATGGATCAACAAGCTAAAGAGAAAGAAAAATGTGCTTTTCTCTGCACTTTATACCCTAATTATGTTTGATTTTTGACATCCTAATAAGGTTTCAAAGTATCCATTATTATATTTTGGAATCATTTAACAGTTGTGATTAACTGCATAAATACTATTATTACTATTATTGACTGAGTACTTTGGTACATTATTAAGAAAGTGCCCTGCTTACATGCCTACATCTAATTTGACATGAAGCATCTGAAACGGAGTGGAAATGCCTTCATGTTTCTCAACTGTAACTTATACCCCAGTAAGTCAGACAATAGAAACATTAAATGTTTTGGTTCAGTTCTGCTTCAGATTCAACAGCTATTTTACTTATATGTTATGTTCCGGCTCAAACACTAACAAAATGTTTGTTAACTAGCTCAGACACTCTGAGTTCAAGTTACAAGACCAGAAGAGCACAGCAAGCTTCTCCATGTCCCTTTAGCATTCAGTACCACTTGAAATTTCTTTGCACAGTATCTGCATAACACCTCCCATATTCTGTTATTAGAAACAGAAACAGAGCGAGTCAGAAGGGGCCTCCTACCTCTGGCCCTTTCGCTTTTATGTTTTACCATCCATGCTTACAACCTGAAAGCTTGTGCACTTCTTCGTGCCCCTTTCTGTCTTGAAATGCTGCTTCCTACAGCCATCAAGAAAAGCAAAAACTACAAAATAGGAACAAACTGATTATCAAGAAAAACAATCCAAATACCTATTCAAGCAGCAGAATCCTGAATTCAATCAGGTTTCAGCAAATCCAAAAGTTCTGTGAAAGAAAATAGTCTTTGCCCAGCCCTGAAAAGCCAAGAGTGATGAAGAAAAACACATCTCTTTGCAAATGGTGTTCCACAGTCTTGGTGCTACTGCCAAACAAATCCTGTCCAGTGTAGGCACCTGCCATAAGGTCATGGGGGTCTTAGAAGGAGGTCTTCACATGAGTTTTCATAAGGAAGAAGGCAGCCTGGACACTGTCAGAAAGGTTAAAATTAGTGTTTTGAAATGTGGCTGGAAACCAACCGAAAGTGAATGAAGGTGTGGCAAAACTGGAGTCACACACTGCATGCAGTTTACTAGAATAGCCATGCAGCCTACAATTGCAATGCTTGGGTCCACAGCCTGTACCAACTAGTTTCTGAATAACATGGATCCCATGAAAAGCATATTACAATAGTCCATTCTAGATGAAGTAAGTATCTTTAAGTTACCATAGCTAAGTCACCTCTTTCCAGGAAATGGCACTTCTGATGCTAAGGGCTAAACTGCCCTCGGCCACTGCTACTACAGAAATACCACTAGATCCAGGACAAACCCAAGACTTTGCAGCACAAGCTGCAAACCCAAGCCTTAATGGACACTCAACACAAGAACAAACAGCAATTGACAATACTTCCACCTTGTCTGGATTAGGTTTTGTTGCATTTACTCTCATTCATTCCATAAACTTGGTTATTCAAAAGTATTACACAGCAGTTACTTCTGAATTATATTAAGGGTTGTGAAATATGTTAAATACTAAAGCTACAAAAAGGGATCATAGAATCATAGAATAGTAGAGTTGGAAGGGGGCAGTGTTCCCTCTGTCCATTTGGGAGGTTACCCAGTCAAAACTGAGATTAAATTAGTCTGACAGAATTTATTTTTGATAAATCCGTGTTGGCTTTCTTTAATCACTACATCACAGGTCATCCCTGTTAATTAATATTAAATCAAGGATATCTGATCCTCCTGTTCCTTCCTCTACCTTCTGCTGAAGGAGTTGTTGGCAATGCATGTCAGGAATCTCTTGCAGGGGTCATGTTTGGCAGCAATTGCCAAACATAAAACAGTTCAAGAGTTCCACTGCTTCCACTGCTGTCTGCTAATTCTTCTGCATGTAACTATCACCCTGTTCCAGGGAATTTCCTCATTTTCCCTTCCCTCAGTGTTCTCTTCTCCTTCAGTTTGTTGATGCACTTCTTGCTTCTGGACTACTCTTAGCTGTTGCAGCTCCAGCATTGTTTAAACACTCTTCATCTTCTTTTATTATCTTGAGGGTAGACACTTGCTACTCCAGTGCTCTCACTCTTTCTTCTAAAAGGGCTACTAGCTTGCACTTGTCACCTGTGTAGGCCATGTTGCTCTATGGTAAGAAAATGAACATTGCACAGTTGTTGCAGGTCACCTCCACTGTGGAATCTCCTTGGTCCATTCTTTGATTAAGTTGTGAATATGTCTTGGATGGCAGTTGTGACAACTGGTGCTTTCTCCTGTCTTCATTAAAGGTTAACAGCATAGCCCTACTTGTAAACAGGAGTGTGTTACAAGTGTGGAAGGAAAACAAGTGCAGGAGAGAACTAAGAGGGGAAAGAAAAGAAGAAAAAAATAGGGCCCTCCCCCTTGCCCTCTCCCACTGAACTCTCCCACCAAACTCCTGTTTGCCCTTCCTAGTTGCTCGCTCCCTGGGAGCTTGGCTGCTTGTATCCCAGAGGCTCTAGACCAGCTGGGACAGCTTGCTCTGCTCTGCTCTGCTAAGTCAGGAAGCAAAAATTGCAACCTTTAGCAATACGTACTTCCTAGTATCTCACTTAGGTATGTGTTTAAATTGGCAGGAAGCATATGGCATTGCCGCTGTCTTAACAAATATGTCCTGCTACAGCAGGGCAGAGCAACATGTGCCTCTCAGCCTTATTTGAAAGCCTACTGCATGTGATCTGTAAGATCTGTTCCTTCCCTGGACAGGAGGAAACAAGTGAGAAAAAGAAATAAAGGGTACAGGAATGGACAAAAAGAGAAACAAGGTGACACACCCACATTTAGCTGTGGCCTACCACTATCAATTAGTCCTGATGGCCGTATGTTACCTCCACTATTGACAGTAGCATGCCTATGAACACTAGTATTTGGTGTGTATAAGTGAGGGGAGCACTGCTGCATTACAACCTTCTGGGTTTCCCATAGGCAGTTGGTTGGCCACTGTACAAACAGAATGTTGAATGAGAAGGAACCCTGGTCTGAACCAGAAAGGCTCTCATGTTCTTGACTGATGGCCTCAGCACCACCCATTGCCAGAAATAGTTCCCGATGCAATCCTCCACTGAAAATAGCTTGGCCACCTCTGCAGTACAGACGTTAAACCACCAGTGCTAGAAGTGCCATTAGTAGTAGTATTACATTTATTTCCCCACCTTTATTTCTCTTGCAAAGAAACCACGGAGGTTTCCTTCTCTCCATTTTATCTACACAACTATAACCCTGCAAGGTAGTGATGTCCACTGCCTACTGAGGGTAATTCTTGCTTGTGATGTAGCAGTTGCTGATGCCATAATTATGGTTTGTGTGCAAGCCTTTGCATGTTTAGACAGGACAAAAGCCCCAAATGCCTTAGCCAGGCATTGCAGGATTTTTTTTAAGTAAGCATGCATAGGATTGCACCCCTTTTCCTGTTTTTTGCCCCTTTATTAACAATTTTTATTTAAAAGTCTCAATCTATGCACTGTCGAACGCTCAACTCAGAAGGCATAAGGATTCTCTTTTTTCTTCCTAATATGCAGCAGCTTCTGAGGCGCTCTTTGCCGCCGTAACCAATAAAAAAACACTTTGCTTCGCCGTCCAGCAGAAATTTTCATACAGCTTGAGTTTGGCTCGTATGATTTCCCGTTCCACGTCAAAGCTCGGTAAAAACTTCCTAGTTTAGGAGCTGGTAGGTCACAGACCGGGTCCTAGGGAAGCCAACCAATCAAACAGAAAGACTTTGTCACCCTCTAGACTCTTCTTCTGATTGGACAAGTCGCATAAAGCGACGTGGCCAGCCACCTATCCAAGTATAGAACTCGAAACACGCTCCTGCCGGATTGGAGAGCGCCGAATTTGAATTGGGTGGGGGGGGTGCTGGTTTCTCCGGGGTCAATTTTATTTTTATTTTTCGTTCTTTGCGTAGCGGGAAGCCGCCCATGTGCGTCCTTGGTGGGAGCTCACAGAACGGACCAAATCGATGAGCGGGATGGGGAGCCCGAGGCGGTGAGGAGGCAGGCGGCGAACCCCACCCCATGGACCCCCGAGGCGGTCGCGGCTCCGGTGCCATGGAGCGGCGCCTGAAGCTTAGCAGCCGCCGCTTCGCCGCTGCCATGAGCAGCATTATGGAGAAGGTGAGCTGAGGAGGCTGAGCAGGGGAGGGCTGCTCGGGAAGGGCGATGGCTGAAGGCCTCGGCGCCGGTGGGAGGCTGGCGAAGCCCACCTGTGTAGTCCTTTCCGCCCTTCCTGAAGTAATGTTGGCTAGGAAAACATTCGCCTTCAACTCTACCCGCTCCCCCCTCCCCGCGGGTTCCAGGAGGTTTCCAGTGAGTTCACTGGCTGGTTGACAGACGGAAGTTCAACGGGTGACGTTTCTCGCCTGCTATGAAGGAGTAATCGGTGATAGTTCATTTCTCTCTTGTGCTAGCGAGGGATTATGAGGATGGGAGTCTGTCTCTGACAGTAGTCTAATACTACTGGATTCTGGATTCTGCTCTCTACTTCGGCAACTTTGTGATGAGTTACCATGTGTCCTGTACCAGCTGGAAACTGTACATGTGGAAGGATGCTCACAAAATCATTGCACATGTTTATGCATTCCATCATGAGTGCCAGATATTAGACAAAAGGGTCTTAAGAATGCTGCAGTATTTTACTTGCCCTATGTCTTACCATTGAAAGAATTCGCAAAAGATTCAAGGTTACATCTGGAGGATGAGGTTATTGAGATTTCTTACTTGAATATTAGGGCAACAGATATTTTGATTGGAACATATACAACATATAACATTTATATTTAAAATTACTGTGCAACTTTAATAGCTCCAAGTCATTCCTTGTATTTCCACACCATGATGTGCTCAGTTTTTCTGCCGAAATTGAAGAGAGTATGTGTGTATGAAAATGCGTAATTAACAGTGTCCATTGCCTGAAACTCCTACATATGCCACCCAATATACCACCCAATAATAAACATTTTCTTCGTGGCTTATATTCACATACATGTATTTTCCCTTTATACCTTACAGAAAACTTACAGTTGACATACTGCAAAATTGTGGGAACCTTATTTTTTCATGTGACATGTTGAGTTGTTCATAGAAGTTAGCTAGGTTTTGGCAAATCTAGGAGGTATGACTGTCAAAGAAGCTAACCACTGCTAAGAAAGGTTGGATGTAGAATAAGGGACAGTCTGGGAATTATGCCTAAACATCTGCAGAAAGCCAGTGGAGATAGTCCAGCATTACTGCACAATGGTGCTCTTAGCAACACAGCCCTCTGCAGGGCTGTTTCTGTGTGTTCTGTATGGCACAATTCTGCATCTACAAGTTGATATACTGAAATATCCCCTTTTCATATTCTGAATTATGTAACAAATAGGTGTGCTTTTATGAGAACTGGACATTCTAAATTATAATGTGGATCTTAAAAATTGAAGCAGTCAATTTCCTGATATCATTATAGGTATTTCCTTCGGTATTGTACAGTTGGAATGTGATTGGCTTTTAGTACTAAGCTGCACCCATCCATAGCACCATCGCTGACAGATGGAGAAGGAGCAATCATTTGTTGCAGAATGCCACAGTGTAACAGATGTTCTTACCACAACAGTCATGTGTTAAGAACATAAAAATCTTGCTGAGTAAATCCAAACCAATATCTGGTCCAATATTTTGTTCCAGCAGTTACCAATCAAATGTTTATAGGAAGCCCATGAGCAGCACAAGAGCACATGAGGACGCTCTTGGTGTTATGCAGGGGTAGTCTCTGTTAGTGGGAGGCAGTATATAGCTATTGTAACATGGACAGCTTGTCCTCCATGTATTTGGCTACTTATTTCTTATTCTTGGACATTTTCGTAATCTATGGTTTTCCTGCTTGCTTTGTCTAATTTCTTCTCCCAGGTTCAAATAGCACATAAGAGGAAGTGCTTTTATTTAAATGTGGTGTGATCCTACCATTGTACATATTAGTTTTTGTGAGCCTTTATAGTCACGATGGAAGAAAATAATATGGAAAACATAAAATTATTATTTTGTTTTTAACCAGAAGCTGATAAGAGTCTATCTGCCTTTAAATACAAACAAGTAAAACCACTGTGGGAAAGATAACAAAAACTAAACTACAACATTATATAAAGAAATGAGTATTTCTAGATATTTAATTCAATTTGGTCAAAAATGAGCAGAAGTTTATGTGCTTTTAATCTAGGGTCTTTTGCAAGTACAGCCAGAGGCAATGTGACTATGAAAGGTGTGTGTGTACATACTGTTATGGGAAATTTAAATATCTACTCCCTCAACACCGCTGCTTCAGTCAAATGGAGATTCATACTTCCTAGTGCAGCTACAAACAAATATGGGAAGATCCAGTCACACATCTTTTGTGTAACATATTTTATCACTCTGTAATGCATACAGACACCACAGCAGAGAGAAGGTATCAGTCCACATTTTATACTGGCTTGAAAAGCTTTTGTTCAAACTTTCAGCAATGAACTGACCTGCAAAAATGGTATGTCTGTTTTCTTATCCTAGTACAACTTTTCCTTTGATGAAGATAGGATTGTTTCCATTAAATCATTAACTTATAATACACCAGATGGTAAGATTGCATTTCCTAATTACTATATTTTTATTTGGTTTTGTATCAACACAGTATATGTGTGTTTTGAAGCACACTAGGTCATTGAAACAGGGATTTCGTTTAGCCCTCATACTGAGGGTATTGCCAATTACATCCTTTTACATTGTTTCATATGAGTCAATAATTGCTATTCTCTCCTAGAAGGAAGAGCAAATTATTGTATTTCAGAGAATGGGTCTAGTGCACCTTTATTAGCGGCCTAGCTTTTACCGTTGCAGAGCCCTGCAGAATACAAGTCGTGTACCCATGATCACTGTGTCGAATGATCTTGCCAAGATACTTGCTCTTCCCACCTATCATAATAAAAGGTCATTTTAAACATGCTATTATACTCTAGAGAAGTCAAGAAACAACCCAGCTGTGCAAATAGCAAATGAGTGGTTTCACTAGTTTCAGAGAGCAAGAAGTAGTTGCCTAATTCACCACTATGCTTTCTCCCATGCAAGAGTCTTGCAAGATTGCAGTCTGTAACCTTAATAAAAAATGTCTGTTCTAATAATTTCTTATGCATGTGGAATTATTGTAATTATTATTCTGTCATTTGTAGGGCCAAAGGTTTGGGGAGAAGAGACAAGCACTGAAATTATAGATAGATCTCACCAGGTATTAAAATCTATAATTTCTAACAAGTGTACTCTTGGTTTTCATTGGCTAAGTGACGTTTTCTCATTCTTACAACCAAGCTTTAAATGCTAGAAATGTGTCTTGAATAATGCATGTAAGGTTGTGATAATGGTATTTTTGAATGGTGCTTTAGAAGTCTTACTTAACAATTTGTAGAGTCTGTTTAGGGTTTATAACTTGTAATTAAGTTGAATAATATTCCTTCTTATTCAGTTTTCCCTTTACCCAAAAGTTGACTAACTAAAATGACACAATTTGTACTTGACTGTTTATCAATAGTGCTAAAAACATGTTCACATTGCTTGTTAAAATGTTTAGGTTGTGTTTTCTCTTCTAGTACTGACACCTTTATCATTAGAGGCATTGGCTTGTTGGAACAATTCCTGTCAATTGACCTGATAAAGTGAATTGTCAGTCACTGAATTTTCAGCTGCTAAGGCAAAACTTCAGAACAAGTTTATAGACTGATTGATTGATTGATCTTACTGTGTAATTAGAATAAGATATATGTATGTATGTATGTTATTCTAATTTTCAAAGTTGCAAGTATATAATTCTTCTGATTCTTAAGATAGTATTCAGGCATCCTGTGGCATGGAAATGCACTCATGTCATATGAAATCTTGTTCACTTCAATGGTTCAGTCCAGTATAAATGGTCTGCAGATTGCATATTTTAACTGCAGTTTAGTATCAATTTACAGAAAGTTTCTAGACAGGTAAGTAGATAGGACACTACAGAGCTGAATAACTTCTGAATGATTTGCTAAATCTATGCTTCTTTTTACCCACTGGCTATTGCTTCCCACACTTCCCTGTGCTGAGCTCCTTATGGCTGTACAGTTCCAAGGAACAACAGAATGTAAGATAGGGATGCCATAGGGCACTAGATACCATCAGGTTGTGTGACAAGTTCTTGAAAGTTAAGCCAGTTCTGCCTGATGATTTGATCAATACACATCTAAATGCATGCATCTTGAAATGACTGATAAGCAACTGGAATTCTAACCTTTTTGTATTTGTTGGTTTAGTTTAGATGTCTCAACCAACCTGTAGTTTAGCCACTGGGACTTTACATCAGACTTGCATGCTCTGATTTCCCCCATATGCTTCAATTTTCTAGTTTGGATATCATGGCAAACCTTATAGTCATGAACTAAGAAGGAAGGAAACTATGATTCTTGCAAAGGCTAATTTGTCTTCAGAACTGAATTGAAAACCATTCATGGTTCCAGTTCTGCTTTGGAAGCAAAGTAATTTCCCTTCTTAGTTAGAAGATAATAATGGTTCATTGTAGCCATACGTTTATCATGTAATTATGATAAACTACAATTATTGTAAACTATGTAATGAATGAGGGAATTGGAGCAGAAAGTAGATGAGGAGGCTGAGGTTCAGCTCCAGTTGATCCAGGTCATTATGTGAACTCTGTATGGAGCAGAACTTGTGCCTGGACCAAAAGCTGCAGTTAGTACAGAATGCCTCAGTGAACTGAGATAGCCAGCTATGTTCACATAACACCTCTGTTTAAAAAACTAAAACAAACTCTTACTATTGAGCCATGTTCAAGGTTATGTTATTGTTGAAGCCCTAAAGTAGGATATATAGCAGACTGCCTTCCCTTATACATATCAGCCACCTTTTAAGATTGCCAGAGAAGGCCTTTTTAGTCATTCTGAAACCAACAGAATGTCACCATGTGATACCTTGATGGTGGGCCTTCTAAGTAGGTGTACACACCATCTTGAAAACCCTGCATGGGCAAAAATTGTGACTTGTTTCAAACTTCCTGAAAACACACTTGATCACCCAGCCTTTCAGTGTCTTGTAATTAATTGTAGTTAAAATTTTTGTTCCGTCTTACTTTTGTTGGATTTGCAGTGCACTGTTAATGATTTTAATAATATATTTTGACTGTGAATCACTTGGGAATTTTATTAATTTTAACCCACAATTAATCCATAGTAACTGGATTTTCATGGCATGTAATAACCTCTAATCAGGCTATTTTACATATTCAAAATGGCAGCAACACCCTCACCAAGTCATGGGTTAATTAACCCAGGATTTGCTGCTGTTACATGCAAATAGGCCACTTGATTGGTTTGCCTGTTTCCAGAGCTATATGCAAAACAGTATACATCTAAGCTAGTTTAAAATATTGAAAGCATAGTCAAGGGTAAAGAGCCACAACAGAACCTATTGTGGAAAGGAAAGGGGGTGAGGACTTGACCCAAGTAAAAAGTGTGGCTCAGTGGCACTGTCTGTTACCTTAAATGTGAAGATATTTCAGCCCTTTCTGATCTGCTTTTTTCAGCTAGAAATTGGGCTTTTTCTGCAGCTAGAAACTGATTTTTTTCTGTTTTTCCCCAAATTATAGAGTACTGTACAATGTCAAGAAGAAACAGGTAAAGACAGTCTTGGATCTTCTGCAGTACCTGTATTTTTGAGTTGTACTTATGTTTTCATTTAAACTATGCTTAATGACTAAAGGAAAACATCAGTTCTAAATATGTTCCTTTCTAGATTCAGGTCTAAAAAATAACTTGGCTTGCAAATACGTTTGTCCAAAACTGTGTTGAAAACAAAATCCAGAAAACATGGTGCAAAGCTTGAAGGCAGGTGTTTGATGTGTACTTTGTATTTGGTACACTGACATAGTCCTGTACCATAATGCTTAATTTATGTAACAACTGATCAGAGTAGACAGAATAATGGAATTTCTTTTTCTGTGCCTCTGTAGGATGTAGATTTCCTTAATCCAAATATAAAGTACATCAGTAACAAAACATAGATCATAGCAAATGGATATCATTACATTATTCATGTGGGCCAAAATGAATTGTGTGATACAGCCAGCTATTTCCAGGACTACACCAGCAATTTTCCTCCAGTTACTGAAGACATAAACATGGTTTTAACTATGAGCTATACTAGTGTACAGTCCAGTTTTAATAGAGATTTCTTCATGTAATTCTGTACAAGGGAGGGCTCACGTGGAAAAAGTAGATGTTTGATTTTCTCATATAAACTAGCTTTAATCCACCAGAAGAGGGAACTTTAATGTTCAGTTTTATACATCTAATATCTTTGTTTTTTCATGCAAGAAACATCATGGCAGCAGTTCTCTGCTTCTGAAAATGGGAACTATACATATAATCAGGTATGCCTCTGTAAATGTACTAATTTTAGAACATTCAAATAAATCTTATTTCAACTTAGTAATAGTCATAACAGCAGTCAGCCAAGAGAAAAGATTTTCTCATTCCCATTGATCCAATCCTATGAACCATACTAGAAGGCTGTCTAAATTAAGCCAATTATTTTTTAAGTTCCTCATTCCTTTACACTCATTCTTTGTCTGTCTCCCACCCAGTGATTTTGCTAATAGGCTTTTAACTTTAGTGGAGCTGTATTTGATCAGACATATCTAGAAAATGTCAGTCAGCAGGTTAACAGTTACATATAAAATTACTGACATATTTAACTTGTTTTTTATGTGCTTGTTATATTGTTATATTGAATGCAACCTTTAATTCAGAGGGGAAGAACCACAGCCACAGGGCCCACACACACAGGGCCCTCTGCCTCCTGGGGTCCTCCTGACCTCAACCTTTCCCAATCACAAATCATTTTGTAATCTTTGTGCTGTTCCCCCCCACTCCCCAATTCTAAAATGTTGACTTGCCTCTCCTAAGGTTTAGCTAAAAGTGATAAGAGCTTTAAGTTAAACCATTTATTGTGTTTGGATTCCTATCCCCCTTTTCCTTTGGTTCTATCAGCTTTCTCATCAACTTTGCCCACCATTGGAAAAGCTGTCCCCCGAGAGCTTCTCCAAAATTGAATTTGGTTCTTGAGAACAGGTGTCCTACTCCTGCCTTAATTAAACCAGTAATAAATGAATGCCAGAATATCAGTTTTCATAAGATTAGTTTTCTTTGTCTCCTATGTATAACTTTTTATTTTCTCAGGGTTTGCAGATTAGTAAACTAATTCTCTGGGTGGTATCTTCCCCTTTAGGATGTATAATCTTTGTTCTCTTGAACATACATCTAATGGCAGCATACCTTGTTATGAGGATAACATTTGGTTTGTACTTATAAAGTTTATCATGTCTTTAATTGACTTCTGAAGGGCAATTGTTAGGAATTTTGCTGGTACTCAAAAGTTAACCTGAAATTGCAGTTGCAAATATGCATAAAATATTTGTTTCCTTGTTATATTTTGTTGTTGTCCAAGTCTGCTTATTTACAATCAAGATCTAATTTTCCCATCAATGTGTCTTTTATACTTAAAATAGATAAAAAGGATTGCTTTCACAGGGATCATTGACTTGCCTTCTGCTAAACAGTAAGATAGAAAATAGTAACTGGCCCAGGATCATTAAGAAGCTTAAAAATAAAGTCAGAATTTGAACTTGCATCACTGTAGCCCTAGTCTAATACATTAACTGCTACTCTTGTATATGTTTTAATACAAGAGTAGACAATGGACAAAATTCTGCTACCTTGTAGCATAATTGCAAGCAAAGATTTGATCATATTACCTATGTAGAACTTAGAGGATTATACAGTATTTGAGAAAATCTCAATAGAATTATGGCCAAATCCAAAACTATCTTAGATTCTACTGTCATAATTAGCCCACAAATTATAGTTCTGCTTGATCCCCTTACGTTGTATAGTTACTTCTTATACCTTAGTGTGTGTGCAATGTTTGTTGTTGGTTTTTGTTTTTCATAGTGGCAGCAAAAGCAGTACAAGGAATTAGTAACATTATCTTCCCCTTGAGAGGGTGATGGGAGAGGGTAGAAGAGTGGGTAGATTGTCTGCATGAGTGTATAAAAGAAAGATTATATGGAATAAAGTTAGGTTGAAAGAGTTCTGCAGGTAAATAATAGACAACATAACATGTCACCACCAAATAAAAGTGTAAGGACTTTAACAATAAAATTTTAACACTTACATTTTTCATGCTATAACTAGTTTCTATTCCACTTTGTTTGACTCTAATAATATAGTTGATTTTGTGGCCTAAATTTAGCTAATCTAGTATTTATTTTTTGGGGTGAGAAGATGACATTTGAGGAAGAATCATTCATGAATTCGTATGGAGTGAGTCAACTTGATACAGGTAAGGTGAAAGTAATGGAAGTACGTGCAACTCCCAAAGTATTTGTGGAGCTCATCTAAGCCTTGGTTGGTAACTTCAAGAAACTAGCTAAATATACTTGTAAATTACTGTGCTAATGCTAGCAAGAATTGTACTACTTTCGCTACTTTCTTCTAACTTTTCTTTCCATTATGAGTGATAATTTAGTATTAAGTCGTAATACATTTCTTTCTAATATAATTTCTGTTCCTTGATACACCATCATGCAGAATCTTAATTGAAAAAGTAATTTATCCTTTTCTTTCAAGCATTGCTTTCATTGTTTTTCAAACTGAGAGTTCAGAAGTTTCCTTTTGTAAGCACCCAAAGTGATAGTAGTCCAGGAAGCTGGTCAGATTGAGTGACTATCAAGTACTTGTTCTGTTGCCACATTATAGTCCTTTCTGCACTTCTTGCTGCTGCTGTTAAATTATCATAAACCAGTAGTATTCTTTGTCACTTTTAACTGAAAAGGTGGTTGGTACAGAAAGTTTTGGCTTCATGGTGCATGGCTGTCCTTTATTTTGATACCTGTGGTTTCAGAGAATAAACATGATTGCCTTAGTATTCGTCATTTTTAAAACTTTAATCTGGCAGTTTTTCTGCACATTGTACTTTCATGACCCTTCCCCTTCCGGTATCCTTTATACCAGTGGTCCTGCCAGTTTGCGGGGGAGGCATTGCACTTGCAGCAGACCAGCATGGGGCTGGCTGTGCTACACCACCTCTTCCTCATTTGGCACTGTGTTCCCAGGGAGTGTGCCAGTGCTCCTCGGAACATTAGGAACTAAGGAACAATAGTTTTAATGCCAACACTTCTCATAGCTAAAAACTTACTCATCAAGAGGGGTGAGTGGCTTGAAGGGATTTGAGATTGTATATGTGGTTCAAAAATCATAAAAACATTTATATGGCGTCATATTAAAGGCAGCCGAGTTGATGTATGCATTGACACAAGTTAAATTGAGCTAGCATTTAACCTTCTTGCAATGCCATAGCATTGGCTGATGCGAAGGTTTTTCCAGGGAATCCCACACACCAACTAATGCTGTTCACGTTATGCTAGAGGCCATGTATGCTAGCACATGATCTATATTGGCTCTCACAGCAGCTTTGCTCCTGTTCTGTGTTACTAAAAATTAGCTTAGGTTAGTGGGAATCAAATATACCCAGAAACAGAATTTTCCTTCCTTTGGATAACTGATATTACATAAAATGGATTAAGTTGAAGTTTTTAAAAGTGTTTTTCCTCAAATTTAGAATTACATTAAAGAAATTGAGAACAATATTATACAAATAATGTGCATCACCTTTTGATACTCATAATGCTGAGTCAAATATACTATTTATCTTTGAATTATAGATCACCAGGAGAATACTGAGGTGGTATTTGTTAAAAGACATTTGGAAAATATCCATCTTGAGGTAACATGACAGCATAAATGAAAATTTCTTACAATATGTGAGCATTAGAAAAGTCAGGCTATTTGTGCTAAAAGGCAATATGAGTTTAGAAAATAGATTGACAGTGAATAGGGGGATATAAGAATGTGAACTATATAGGTACAGAATCTCCACTAATTTCAAGGGGTTCTTCCAAGGTTTCCGAGATTGGGAGTTGGAGGCACTTCTTTGCGGTGGTTCCGCTCCTATCTCAATGACCGATTCCAGAAGGTGGTGCTGGGGGACTATGGCTCTGTGCCATGGCAGTTATTATTATTATTATTAGAACATTTCTATGCCGCCCCTTGCCGAAGCCTCGGGGCGGCTTACAAACACAATAAAATACAAAAATAACAATATAAAGTTAAAATTAACAATATAAAATAAATAAAAATATAACATATAAAATAATGTCATGGAGTTCCGCAGGGGTCCATTTTGTCCCCCTTGCTATTCAACAGCTACATGAAACTGCTGGGAGAGGTCATTAGGAGGTATGGGCTGCGGAATCATCAGTATGCTGATGATACCCAGCTCTACCTCTCGTTTTCAACCAATCCAGGTGAGGCAGTGGCTGTACTGAACTGGTGCCTGGCTGAGGTAGTGTGCTGGATGAGGGCCAATAAACTGAAGCTCAATCCAGACAAGACAGAGGTCCTGTTGGTAGGTTGTTCAGACTTCGGGGTGGGGGACCTGGACCTTGTCCTGAATGGGGTTGCACTCCCTGTTAGGGACAAGGTTCTCAGCTTAGGAGTGCTCCTCGACCCTGAGCTGTCATTAAAAGCTCAGGTGACGGCGGTGGCAAGGAGCACTTTCCTTCAGCTTCACCTGATTCATCAGCTGCGTCCCTACCTGGAGAACGATTGCCTGGCGACAGTGACACATGCACTGGTAACTTCCCGATTAGACTTCTGTAACGCGCTCTACGTGGGGCTACCCTTGAAGACGGTCTGGATACTTCAATTGGTGCAAAACAGAGCTGCCAGGTTGCTGACGGGGACTGGGCATTCTCATATAACCCCAGTTCTCCGTCAGCTTCACAGGCTCCCCATTGAAGTCCGGGCCCAATTCAAGGTGTTGGTTATCACCTATAAAGCCCTCAACGGCTTGGGACCTGGTTATCTAAAGGAACGCTTGCGTCCATATATGCCCTCCCGCCCCTTGAGATTGGCAGCAGAGGCCCTTCTCTGGGAACCCTCCGTGAAAGATATTAGGAGGGTGAGTACCTGGAGGAGGGCCTTCTCTGTGGTGGTGCCCCACCTATGGAATGCGTTCCCCAGAGAGGTCCGCCTGGCGCCCTCGTTATTTGTTTTTCAGCACCAGGCCAAGACCTTTTTATTTAAAAGTTATTTTAATTGTTAATTTATGAACTATATTTATTGGGTTTTTATGTACGTGCCGAGATGTTTCTGGTTTTTTAAGTCTAATTATATAACTGTTTATATATGTTTATTAATGTTGTAAGCCGCCCCAAGGCTTTTTGCGAATGGTTTAAATAAATAAATAAATAAATAAATAATAAATAAATAAATAAATAAATAAATAAATAAATAAATAAATAAATAAATAAGGTTTTCTGAATATCCAGCAATTGCTATGTCTATGTATTGGTAAATTCTAAAAGCATCCAAATTACTTCATCTAACATGTCGATGTTTGGATGCACTGGATAAAAACAGACTTTCCCTTCCTTATCTTGTGAAGTATTCGCAATATTGAGGGTTTTATCCAATATAAGATTGAAGGGGTAGAAATCTTGTTCACTGCCCCCACAGCAAATAGTATCTGATTCTTATCATATGTGAAGAGTTGTCCATAGAAAGAGTCCTGTTTTCTGACAACAGTCTCGTCTTCTGAAATACATTAGTCCTGTATTCTGACTTTTCCCAACAACTTTGGCTTAACATATCACTGAGCACAAAGTATCAATAATACATCAATATCAATAATTTCAGATATAAAATTATATCTGAAATATTCACTGATATTGAAAAAAATCTGTACAGTGTGCTTTTGTAACAGTTGAAAAATAGCTCCCTTGGGCAGGGTAGGATTATCGTACAATTTAGCAGGTATGATGCAATTATATGCAGATCTAGTATGTTCTTGTTTCTTTTAACTGTGTGTCAAAAATTATTCATTATTGTTGCAAATAAGGCTCATTGAATCTGATCCAAGTTAATTGATTTCAGTGTGAAAAGTTAGTCATATTTAGTGGAAACTAAGACAGCTGACATAATCTGGATCCATTGATTAAGAGTCCAACTTAACTTTTTTTTTTAATAAAAGGAAAATATTCCTCTTGAAAGCTGTTCTGGAACACCTGTGAAAAGTAAATGCAGTGTTGAAATGGATATGCTACTGGAGGAGGATGTGAGCTCTGTTCCATCAGAACTTACGGTAACACAACATTTCAGTTGATCCTAAAAAAAATTAAACTTAAAATTTCATTCCATTTATACTCACTCACACCAGTCCAGAATGTATCTCTGTGTGGCACAATTTCCATCCATGGGGCTTCAGCATATGTAGCTCTCACCATTTATTTTCTATTTCCAATGGGTGCATAAAAAAGGTATCTTGAAAATGATGGAGAAACCATCATAGGTAATAGGTAAAGATAAAGGTGTTTGAATACAATAAGAAATTACCAGACCAGAGTAACTGTTAGTGAAATCTGCTTCATCGCATTTGTATGCATGCTTCAGTTCCATTTATTGATTGATTGATTGATTTATGGATTTATATCCTGCCTTTTTCCTACAAAGGGCTCAAGGCAGCTTACATCATTCTCCTCCTCCATCTTATCCCCACAACAACCCTGTGAAGTAGGTTGGGCTGAGAGTCAGACTGGCCCAAAGTCACCCAGTTGGCTCCATGGCTGAGCGGGGACTAGAACCCAGATCGCCTGAGTCCCATTCCCATGCTCTTAACCACTACACCACATTTTAAATGGGAAGTAAAAATGCAACACTTTTATCATTTAGGCATAATATGTTATGTGACATTTGTACTATTTAACAAGCATCCAGTGGTAGTTAAAAAAGTCTTATCTCAAATAAAAATGTTTAATTGCTTTGTCTCTGGATTTTAATGTGTTTCTGCAAATTCTTAATTTCAGTTTGCTAACAGCATATCTTGACAATTTGGCTCAGGTTAAAAGAACACAAACAAAGAATGTTCACCAGAGGTCACCTTTGCAAGAGCTGGAAGATAACTCTTTAACTGGTGAGTTTCACAACAAAAGTTTTGCTGAAGTAGGTTAATATTATTTTGAGTGGTGCAGTGGGTAAGATAAATGTGGATATATGAGGTTCAGCTTCAGATCCTATTTTGGATATGAAACTGACCAGATAGCTTTGCATATGTCACATTTTCTCAACTAAATTTATTGTTGAGGATAAGTGGAATATATCTATAGGTTTAAACTGCTTTACAATCACCTCTACATAGTTTGAACTTATTAGTTATCAAAAGTTTGATAGAAACTGCACCTGAAGAATAGTGAACACAAACATTCTACTTGTATCAGAAATTGTATGTTTATATGCAGCATCTTTGAGTTACATGTTCATTGGGATGTCCATGTTTTAGGAATGAGCCAGGAAGTGTACATGACGAGAAGGTTATTTACCTCATTGGACTGCAGGAAGATGTTCAGATCAGAGGAAAGTTCTCTTACAAAAATAAAATCTAAATATGGACTCTCTTACTATGAAGGGAGGGGCTCAGTGATAGAATGTATGTTTTGCATGAAGAAAGTGTAAGGTTCAATCCCTAGTTTCTTTGCTAGGGGTAGAAAAAATCCTGCTCGAAGTCTTCACCAATCAGTGCTGATAACACTGGACTAGTGTTAACTTGGTAGAAAGCACCTTCCTAAATTCCTAAATGAAATAGTGATGGTGCTGTTAAATTTAATACAAAAATAATCAAAATAGTGGCTGATTCTTGAAACACAGAGAAATATACAGTTCCTGAAAGCTGTGATTGTTATCACTGCCTTGTTTCATTAACTTACCTTTTTTTAACATATCCTTGTTGGTACATTAATAGTGATAGCATTAATACTGAAAATACTAAGTATGCCTTATTATACCTCCCTTTTATCTATCTATTAGATCAACAAGACAGTGTATTGACAAAGCAAGCACAATCTACAGACTGGCATCCTTCATCAGTATCTGTGCTGCCTTCCAACTCCGTTGTTCCAAGTTCATCAGATGAGACAAGTGTACCTAGAAATCAGTCCCTTTGGAGTAATAATGAAACTGGACACAATAGTTTTCTGGAAATGTATGAGTCTGCAGATGAGCATTGTTCTTGGAATAATGTCACAATAGCAGACCTGTATCCAGGAATGGTAAAGACACTCAGTAAATTGTTGCATAAAGCTTCTGGTTCATTAATAAAATGGTACAAATATGGATATTGGCACCGTAGGAAAACAAAGTTTAATACTAGTACAGAGAGAATAAGGAAGTCCAGGCCATTAAAATTGAAGTCTAGCTTAACAGTTAGAGAAAGTGATGGGCAGAGGCATACATTGCCCACAGTAAATAATGGAAGTAAGTCTCCTTTTGATAATAACACACATCACATCCATTGTTCAGGAAACAATGTATCTACAGTAGTATCTTCAAGATGCCATAATGTAGATACAATGGATATAGACTGTTCTGGCATTGTAGAAGATTATTCATACAGAGAAAGAGTTCAACAAGATGACCCTGAGACTGCCCTGTATAGTAGTGATCTTTGTAAAGAAGAAACTTTCCTGGTCAAAGGTCCACAGTGTATCACTTCACGTTCAGACTGTGTAATGAAAGGTAAAACCTTGGAACAATATCCTACAACGTACATTGTGGATTCAGGCACAACATTTAATCTAGCAACAGAAAGTAAAACAAGGGAAACGACCACTACAACAATCAAGCTTGCATCATGTTTAAGCTCATCCTTAAGTAACAGCACAAATTCTTACTTGCAAAATAGCAAGACTGTTCTGGCAAAAATCTCAAATGGATTACCAGAAAATCATGAAATTAAAATGTTTAAAGGAGCTATTTCACGGCAGCGGAGTCATTCATTTTCATCATTTTCTGTTAATCGAAGTCCCATCAAAGTTCAGCAAAAATGTGAAGATGCATTTGAAAAAGTCTACAATGAACTGTGTTCTCCAAAGTTGAAGAAACCATTTAAGATTTCAAATACATGTGCAAGCCCTAAGAAGTCTGCAGACTTTCATAGATCTGGTTTTAATAGTCTTTCTTCTTCAAAATTTCATCAGATAACTAACAGTACCATTGAATGCATATATCAGAAATTGTGTTCTGAAGGGTTTCCAAAAATCCCTCCATTTCTGAGAGCAGCAAACTTAAAAAAATATGAAGGAATCCAAATGTCTGAAACTGTAAATGCCTTAGTTAATTCTCCCATTAGAACTTTACCTGCAGTTGCCAGAATTAAAAGAGCAGCAAACTTCTGCAATGAAGACTGTCGATCTTCACCCATAAAAAGATTAAAAAATATATCTGAGAACTCTTCTCATAGAATAAGTGAGAAGGTACCTTACTGGAAAAACATTAATGTTCAGAAGACTGACATGACTTTCACACTGTACAGTACTAACAAAAACAAATGGACCTCACATGGGGTAAGTAAGCTATACTCTTATATTAAAGATATTGCAGTATTAAAATTGCTTACAGTTCTTTGTAGCCCTTCAGGGACAAAATTCCTGAAGTACATGGATTTTCATAAGTTACGAAGGCTTCAGACCTGTGCAGAAATACATTTATGTTTTGTTTTTAAAATTACAGTTTTGGATGCCTTTAAGATGAGGCTACAATTCTTACTAATTGGTATGCCACAATGTTTCTCCTTTCTTAAAAATATATGAATTAGGATCTTTTAAAAATACTGTAAAGCAGCATTAGTTTTTGGCTGCTCATATTTGAATAAAAATGGTTTGAACAGATTTCAGCTGCTTGTGCAGCAAAGGGAAAAAGTAATGTTTGATTTCATTCAGAGTATTTATTTCTTATGCTCCTGCAAAAGCATAGCCTAACTTTGCAACCATAAAGCATGCAAATGGAAAGGGAGAAGTTACTTAACTTTTACTAAAACTAATCTTGGACATTAGTTATGCAGACTGTAAAAGTGCGTAATTTAATGTTTGAATACTTAATTTTTAGGATTCTGGATTTTGCATTTCTTCAAACCACCACTTTCTGGCTACTGCAAGCACTGATATGAACGGTAGGCTTCAGTTATTAAAAAATAATCCATTATGCTAAATTTTGCCCTCAGCACAAAATAGGGGTTGTTGTTGTTGTTTTTACATCTTTTCCACTTGATCTTGTACTTTGTCCTGTTCTCTGGGTAATTCCAAGAATTGCCTAATGCCCAGTTACTTGATCAGCTTTAGTTTTAAAAACCTTTTAGCATAAAATGTACATGAAAAAATAATAGCAAAATTGCATGGAAGTGTTCTCCACAGCAAAAGATGTAGTGGTGCATGGGTATACATTCTCTAGTTGTGCCTGCTAGCTTCTTTTCAAGAGGGAACCTGAAAAGCTCAGGCTACATAGGTTGGCAGAAACTGTCTTTGGACAGGAAGTTAGTAATGATTTATTAACTTTTAATCATTCTTAGGTCAGGAATAAACATAGCCTAAGCTCCAACCAATATGGCCAGTAGATAAAAATATGGATCCAAAAATATCTGGAAGGCACCAAACTGCCTATCTCTAGGCTAATGGAAGCAAGTAAAACTAAAATAATAATTAACATTACTGAAGCACTTTCATAGATTTCCAGATACATGCTTTTTTAATGTAGTAGTACAAATGAATGTGGAACCTGAGCATGTACATGTGTATTGCTGAATATCTCAAAAAGACACTGAAAATAAATTTGAATAGAAACTTAGGTGATTCTGAGTATGTTAAGTTTGCAGATAATTAATCTGAAATGTCAAAGTGGGGTAATCCTTTCTCAGTTCTTTGTGTTGCATATTATAAAGAAAAAAGCCACCATTTGAGGGTGGGTGGGGTAGGTGTGTCCAACCTTCCTATTTGTAGTAACAATTATCTTTTATGGTTTTTGGGTTTGGGTTGTTTTTTAAAGCTTGGGTATTAGTAAAGCCTTTTGTGAAAACAGAAAGAGAGAAAGCACAAAGCATGTGTAATTTGCAGCTTTGCAGTTGACCAAGCTCAGACAATCATAATGCTTTTTTTCTGTGTGCACACAGCCCTTCCAATCCTCCCTTCATGCAAGCCATAATTAAATCTAAGGTCCTAAGGCTCTAATTAATTATATAGTTTTCCATGTCATCCGAATTAGGAAACTGTTGTTGCAAGTTGTAGAACAAGCCAGGATATTAATTCCAGTTTGAATTCAATTAAATATGTTGACTCATTCCAAAGCTTGTAATCATAGTCTTTCAGCTTCTATGAGGAAGCAGTAATTAATCAAATACTTGTTTGACTGATGGCTGCCACAAGGGGCTATATGCACCAACAAAAGACCAATAGTATGTATCTTGGCTTAATTACCCAGAATATAGTCATCCAGAGGAACTGCATCATATTTTGTTTGACCACTTAAATCTAATATTTTCCCTCTTGGTTTTTTCTTTTCCATAGAAAATAAGCTTTGGCAACAGATTATGGACAGATTTAGTTTTTAAAGCTTTGACAGTTAAGAATTTTTAACTATAGTCTTGAACATTTTTATTTGCATTGGATTTCTTTTTTAAAAATATGTATGTTTAACTGAGTTTTCCAATTAAATTCACTTTTATTTATTCAAACTCCCCCAAAATGTTGTTTTCAATATACTTTGTTTGGTTTTGTTATCTTTTCAATATAAAGTTCTTCATGAGGCACTTAATTTACCATACCCACTTGCTTCACAGAATCTAGGATTGTAGAGACCTGGGAAAGTTTTCATCCATGTTTTCAGAAATGTGACTCTCTAAGAAAGTCACAGAAGCATACAGTTGGGTAAGTAACACCTGTGCTTTTCCGTATGCCTTTCTTGTATTTTTCTGTGGAAGGATATGAAGGGAAAAATAATTATAATCTATCCTTGTTAGCTACACCTACAGCAAGCTTGGCAGGATTACAAATTTTGACCCTGTTTGCAGATGATAGCATCCCACAATTAGCAAACCATTGGTTGTTGAGAAGATAAGCAGGAATGAGCTTGAATGCTGCTTCATGCCCTCCCACCGGTTCATTTTGTGATAAACAAGCCAGGAATGCTTCATCCATTGGTTCACACTGACATCCCGACCTAGAGCCCTGGAGTCGAATAATCCAGAGTTGTTCTGGATTCAGTTGATTCAATAAACAACTCAGGGAACTTTTCCCAGTCCTACTTGGAGAAGCTAGGGGTTGAATCTGGGATGTTCTGCATGGAAAAAGTGTGATTCACTGCTGAGTTATCACACTCTTCAAAATGTTTTTAAGGTGTAAAAAAAGGAGAAGGTGCTGTTGATGAGATGGGCAAGTGGAAAGATTGAGAAGGGAAGATACCTAGCCTTCATCCAAATAATTTAATTCACAAAAGAAAATGTTATCAAGTTACATTTTGTTACATTAATATAAAATGTGCCCCACATTAAACATTGTCCAGCTGATGGCTAAACCAGAAAGAGTTGGTAGGCCTGTCCCAAATAGAGATGCAGTGGGTCGTTCCCCAAAATAAACAAAGGGTTAATTTGAATTATAAAAAAGAATATTGCTGTGATAGACTATTACATAAACTCTCCACTCACCCACCTAATGCTGTTTCCTCTTTGAGAAACATGGTCTTGGTATCTTTCTGCCAAAACATCAGTGTGTTTGCTTGCTTGAAAGCTAAGAAGGTGATCTCAGAAAGTTGGTTATGAGTGCCATCTTTCTATATAGGCCTCAGGGATGACTGAAGAGATGATCTATGTAGGTCCAATTTTGCTGTTCTAAGACAACCAAAACTGTGCTTTTAGTAAGAGACAAAGATTCTGAAATCACAGGACAGGTAGCTTAGCTTCCCTTTTTTCTGGCTATGGGTGTTACAGGTCTGTGATTATAATTCTACAGTTTGATCAATAATGGCTTTAAATTAGTAGTTTGAAGTTATGTGTTTAAGTATTCACCACCCACATTGTGCAGTGGATTAACTTTCATATAGATTTCTTTTGAGCTACTGAAGGTATTTCTTAATAAATTATGTATGAAGCTGGATAGTTGTTATAAGTGAGGGGGTTATTTATTTATTTATTCCTGTAAGAAGAAAGAAGTCCTGGATGTCAGCTGGAAAAACTTTCTGGTTGCCAGGACTTTCTTTTTCTTTTTTCTTTTCTTTTTTGGAAGTTTTGCACTCTTGTGAGCACTTACTGAGAATATACTCTTTTCTTTTCCAGTGTTTCCAGGAAGCTGAGCTATAATGATGGGAGAGCTGAATATAAAAATGCTTATGTGAAAGAATCCATGTGTAAAAATTATGAACAATAATTTCTGGAAGGGTATGACTATGGAGAGGAAATAGATCATTTTTAAGGGAAAAGATATTTGGTTGGGTCCAAAAATGTCTTTCCATTTATTAAAAGGACAAGGATCCAATGAATCCAATTGCATTCCCAAATTCAATTCATTCCAATTTGGGAATGAAACTAAGGGAAGACAGTTTTCACCAGTTCCCCTTATCCCTATAACCTACCAGCTCCACATTTAATATAGAGGAGCAGATTTTAGGAAGCTACAGAGCAAATTGGGAGCTTAGCACTTTGTCCCACTAATGTAACGCTGCTCATGAGACTCCAAATACAACCCACTGCAGTTCTGCTATGCAATTTGAGAGCTATATGCTTCAAGAAATTGAGTAGACCTTGTCTCTAGAATCCAGTTGGCTTATTAAGAGAGAGAGCACTGTTGCTTGAAAACTCATCAAGCTTGTGTCTCTTATAGAAAATACATCTTTGGAGTTTTTGTGTGCACACATAACTTCAGCTCTTTCTAATGTATTCTACTTGCCTAATCAAGATCTACTCTTAATATATAATGCTTTAACAGATTTTTAGTGCATTTGTGTACTGTTGAGTGGGCTTATGCTTTAGGAATGAGCAGAGCATTATTCCATTGCTGAAAATGTGAGATTTAGAAAGCTGTATCTTGTGTATTGCAAATTTGATTTTAATGTGTTAATTGTGTGCGTTTAGTGCTTGAGAATTCTATATCTTTATTGCTTAATAAACTTTTATGTATGGTTGTAATTGGAATTTTTAATTGTAAGTTATTACAAATAGCCCTCTGCTAGATGATATCTGGGTGTTTTCTATTTATCAACAAGAGATAAGCTGCTAAATTCCACATAGGTTACCTACCATCTTAGACTTTCTACACTTATTTTTGTCTTAACTACTACTTCTTTGGAATAAGTGGACAGGTTCATAAGATAAGATGAAACAGCCATTTAGCTATGACTAGCAAAAAAGTTATACACGACAGTATTTATTTTGGTCAATCAAGAGTTGCCATGGTCTGTATCTTTTCAGTCAAAGACAAATATTATTATTGCAATGCATTTACAATGCACTTTTCTTCCTCTTGCAAAGAACCAAGGGTGGCTCACAAAATTCTGTCCATCTTCACCTCAAAAACAACCCCATCGGGTAGGATAGGCAGAGAGGCAGTGACAGGCCCAAAATGACCCAGTAAGGTTTTTTAGTTTTGTGAGGACTAGAACCCAGTCCAGCATCCTTAGCTATTGCACCACACTGGTATGGGAAGAGGAATGTTTACGTTGGAATGGATTGAAAACCATAGAAAGCTTTATGGCATGTTCATCTGTAGAAGGCAAATTGTAACCTGAAAATGATATACTGCTTTTTAAAATCTTAAAGTGTCTCACTGCAAATTTAAAAATACATTATGGAAACAAAGCAACATTTAGACAAGGTAATGACTGTAGAAACCTTGGGTATACAAAGATTTGATCATTGCCAAAATCACATGATCACTGGTGCCTGAAATCATAAGATGTGGCTGTGAGTCATATATGCTTTCTAAGCAAAATCTGGTGGCTGTAGTCATTCTTTTCCCCTGAACATGATAGTCAAGAGGGCTTGAGAATTTTGATTGGATCCATTCCTGCTTGCTGATCCATGTTCCCTTTAGTATCTTTCTCAGGGAAAAAATATTTCTAGTGCCCAATCATACCTTGCTCAAAATCAAAAGATCAATGTTTATATGTACATGCTTAGGTAGGTCTGAGGTTCCAGGAAAATGTCTTTATGCTACTTTCTTTACAATTTATTTGGGTTCCTAATTACATGGAGGGGAAAGCAATGGATACGCTATGCTTTTGTACAGCAAAGCCAGCCTTCAGCTGGTTTCTTGTATCAGCTTCTGCTAACGTGCTCTCAGCATTAGCAAGCATGTTCACTGACAATATGTGGCATGAGCTCCCATCAATATGTTAGTGTTCTAACAGGGAGACAGTTTTACTGGAATCTGGTCCCAGTTTGTTTAGGACTTTCTGTGCTAATAAAAAATGTTTTGAATCTCATAGTAGCACCTTGGCAGCTGGTCGACTTCCTCCAGTTTGGGGGTTATGTGAATGTGGCAAGGCACTCCATTCAGTAGCCTCGCTGAAGCATTCTACACTAGGTTCATCTTCAAAACCAGCCTCAAGCACTGCAGAGAGCCTTACAATAGTCTTGTGGAGTCTGTGAATGCATGGATCCCAATGTTTAAGCTATCCACTATTTCTAGTTTTAAAAATCTGATTCTCAAATAGTTGTTTATATAGGAAGCTCTGATTAAAAAAATAAACCAACACAATCAACATTTTACTGTATGCAGATTATGATGTACAATATTATTATTATTATTATTATTATTATTATAACATTTCTATGCCGCCCCTTGCCAAAACCTCGGGGCGGCTTACAACATGATAAAATACATTGAAATACAATAGTACATAAAATTGTATAGATTGTACCTGATGCAGGCTGCATTTCTAAGCAAGGTCAGTAGACTATAAGCCCCAATAAGCACAGTTTTATTTCCTTTGGAGTAAACATCCATGGAATTCTGCTGTAAATTCTCATGTTGGCAGTCCTAATGATAAGCTTTTTGAGATAATGGACCATTCTTTTCAAGTGTGAAGATGTGAAATCTCATAAACAAGACCTACTACTTCTAATAAAGGAAGCCATCTTTTAGCACTTCCCTTCAAATTTGGGATGAGGGATATTCTTTTTTAAAAAGCTATCTTGATTCTTGTTTTAGTGTACAATAGGCAGAAAAAGGTCACGGTGTGTTTATTGTTTTATTCGCTTATATTATTAGAAAAGCTATGGGTAGTTGGAAAGTCTTATATCTTTACAAACTAGAAGGAAAAGCCATCAGTTCAAGTGCAGGGAGAAGAGAATTGGTATTGAGAGGGAAACTTCTATAAGAAACCTGTGTTTATTCATCAGCCATATGTAACTTCAATAGATCAATTTGATTAATTATATGACAGCACAGTTCTATTCAAGTTTACTCAGTTTACCTGGTTTGCACAATACAGCAACTTACCATGACTGTCATGTTGTATAAGCCCAGTGTGATTTCTGAAGGGCGGCTTGTTTTCATGCACTAACCACCCTGAGAACCCATGGCTTGATGCTGGGTTGTTCATATCTATGGTGGCTTGTTGTGATGTTTCAACCTAGCAGGGCTACTTCACCATAAGTTGTAACTCACCCTTTCTCAGTGCCCTCCCAGCCCCCTTGCTCCCAAAATTCAAATAGAAAGTATACCAGAGAATGTCCTGAACATAACTGCAACCTGTTCAAAATTACTTTTATTTTTGGTCCTGTGCATATTCACAGGAGTGAATTCTGTGAAAATAGGCAAAAAAATCCCTTCAGATTTACTGCTTTGTCTTGAAACTTGTGCATTTCCTGTATCTCTTTTCTTGCTTTGCCATGACAGTTCTGTATTTTTAGCAACCACACTCACTTGTCTGTAACCCAGACGTACATAGGACAGCTAGCAATGAAGAGATGCTACAAATGAAATGAAGGAGGTGGGTAGCCAAAAGTGGCTAGTGGTGGCTGCAGCAGAAGAGGGCCTCATTAGGACAGGAAGCAGTCTCTGTGTGTGCATGTGCGCTCTAGAAAGGGGAGCACCAAAAGCGTTTGAGGAATGAGTTTCCCTCAGAATCTAGCAATTTCTATAAACCAAGGTGCAGAAAGTATGCTGATGAGGAAATGAGTTTTGCCTCAAAGGCATCTAGGAGATATGTCAAGAACCAGAAGAAAGACCAAGGGAGGAAACATGCTATGGCAAGTAACAGAATGTCCTAGGATCTGTATGGTGAGTGGGCAACCAACCAACGCAACAGTGGTTTTCTCTCAGGGTGGTAGCATGGCATGCAAAACAACTCACCATGTACAATAGTGGCATTAAGCAAATGGGTTTAAGACTGTTGCCTGAATCTTGCAGTCCAGTTAGCTAACTTTCAATGAGTGGAAAATCTTGTTAATAAACTTTCAAATATAATAGAAGGTCCCTGTTGCCCTGATCCCTGAACTTCTAACTCAATGGATCACCTAAAATTAGCATCTTAATCCACCACCATCGCTCAGTGCCATTTTTCCTCTAACAATGGTTTCATACCTATTGGATTGAAAAGCACTGAGGAAGAGAAAGCAGAAGGTTCAAGGAAGAGTGGTCCCTTCACACTTGGAAATCATGCTCTCTGGGCTGTACTGTGCAGAGGACAAGCAGCTGTCAGATTCTGAAGGAATGCAGGGGAGGCAGTTGCACATAGCTCTAGAGTTTTAGGACTGGCCTTAGAGGCTAAATGAATGAACCGCAAGTAAAGAATTCTCTCAGTCATATTGCACCTTTATGAATGGGCACGTGTGTTGATCTTCACATCTCAGACATTTATTTTCTTAATATCCCGTCAGTGCTAGTGGATAGTTGATTCTAACCTGCTCTTACAAATACAATGGGAATTCCCTTGAGCACTTGAGTAAAGGACGGTTGGCTGCATCCAAGGCTGTCCCTGTAGACAAAAGTTTCGGCTTCCATATTCCTTAAAATCTGTTCAAGGAGATACGGGAAAGGGCACTGGAAGAAGAGAAATAATATTTTTTGCACAAAGGGAATTCTGCTCAAATAATGTTGGATATCACCCTAGTAAATAGCATTCAATATGGAGACCCAGTGTGGTGCAGTGGTTAAGAGCATGGGACTGGGACTCAGATGATCTGCGTTCTAGTCCCCGCTCAGCCATGGAGCCAACTGGGTGACTTTGGGCCAGTCACAGACTCTCAGCCCAACCTACCTCACAGGGTTGTTGTTGTGGGGATAAGATGGAGGAGACGTAAGCTGCCTTGAGCCCTTCGTAGGAAAAAGGCAGGATATAAATCGAACGAGCGAACGAACGAACGAATAAATAAATAAATAAATATCACCACAGTAAATAGTATTCAATATATGAAGGTATGGAATAGTAGATACCCATGTTTTGCCAGCATTTTATTAGAAATTATTATACAGAAACTTCCCACCTGACATACATATATACAATTCTAGTCAGTTCCAGTTGCATTTGAAAATTTCTCCTCTTGGGACTTAAGTGTTAGTTGGTTTCCACCCTCTTCCTCTGTTGACCTGTCCTCATTTCTTTAGGTAAACACCAGGGCCCAGTATAGATCATGCGCAGATAAAAAGTAACTATATGATTTTTCACTGCTATCGTTGTTGTTATTGATGTAGCAATAGGTCATTTCTGCTATGGTCTTAAATTTGCACTTGACTCCCAAATAAAACAACTCTGGCTAAAGTTTTACACTGCTTTCAGTTGAGTGCAGACTTATCCTGAATCACTGATGGATGCACAGTTGGCAGCACACAATTTGGCAAACAAAGAGCTGCCAGGTGGGCCAGTGGTTGCACACTGGTATTTACGTAATTCTACAGATCAAGCATGAATTAATAACAATGTCAGTACTTAATTTTCTGGATTGGATCATTAGGTGAGGGTTACTTTCCATAAACGTTTTAGCACTAGATGTTTGCTATTGTGAAAAATTAGATCAAATGCCATCTCTATTTACCATTAAGTGAATGGGAAAGGTTCTGACATATGCAGTTTAGACTAAGGCCATACTGGTAAGCCCTGGAGTTAGTCTACTAGGAGTACATGGTCACATTAGCCGTAATTCCAAGTAAATTAACCGGACTTCATTTTTCAACAGTTCAAACTTAAATGTCACCCACTGATTTCAGTTGGCAGACAATAACATCTGCCAAAAACTCCTGCTGCAGTAGTAGACTATTAAATGTGTTAAGTCAATTTATAACAAGGCAGGATGGGACTAAATGGGCATATCTGGGGAATAATAAGGAATATTGGTTTATCTAGAATAGATTATGAAACAGTTTTGTAAAAGACAATACTAATCATTTAAATACCAAAAAGAATATCAAATTCTTCCTTGGAGATTTGTTTTTATACCTCATTTACCGCTGCTTTTGCAGACAATTAAATTCAGATGTATAAGACATTACACACTCTTTGAGTTATGGGGATTGACACTAGTAGTCCTTACCAGCAGGAAACTAAACATATGTGGACATTAAATTTGCTAGCTGAACAAGTGTTAATTAGATGAACCAAAGCTGTTACATTATTCTCTAATTAAACCTTAAATTCTGCATGGTGTTTCTACACACATAATGTAGCAAACATTACCTGCAGCAGGATGGACAAAATTTACATTTAGAATTAAAACACTGTTAGTCATTCCAGTATTCAAACCAAATCCAGTATTGCAATATTAAAATATTAAAGTTCCTAAGGCCCCACTGACACTCTGACATACAAATCTGGTGCTAGTCACATCATCTGCACTCTGGTTTGTACTAGGGGACAACTTGGTGCAAGACTAACACAAACTTCTCTATTTCAAGGTAATTTCCTCTATGAACCTGCCTCCTTTGCATAAACTCTGTCACAGGGAGACCCTGTTCGGGGGAGTGTCTCAAGCAGCCTTGTGATGAGTCCTCTGCCGTGTTCAGGTACTCATGCAAATGTATCTGTTCACACAACACCTTATCTAGCCTGGGAAGAGACCAGCCTCATGCCCTTCACCACCACACCTTTTAGGTAGTGTCCTTGATCAACTGTTTGAACTATAGCTGGAACTTCAGAAATGAAACCTGAGCAGCTTTTTCCTCAGAGCAGCTTTGTTCATGTTAAACTGCACAGTGACTGCCACCATGTCTGTAACACTGAGAAAATATGCCCAAAACATAGGTGCTGGTACTTCACGTGAGACGGAGTTAACATGGATCTCTTGGAAGCAAAATATATCATTCAAATGCATCCATAATAATGGCACAAAGGATGAACTTGCAGTTGTCTCTGGAATCCTTCCTTGTCAATTAGTCAAAACTTCCAAGTTCTAAGCCCAGGTAGTTTTTTACAACTAGAAGAATACCCATTTTATCAGCTATACAGTGCTTGGGTGAGCCAAGTCCCTATTAAAATTTGGCATTGTATGTAGGATGAATAAAACCAAATACTTCAAAAGGGTCTTCCTGAGGAGCATTTTCTGGTAATTTATTCTCAGCATTCAGCTGTTCACTGTTGAGATAAATGCAGGCATCTGAGGGTATGCAGCTCCTAGGAAGCTGGTCTTGATCCATTCCTACTTTAGGATATTTCTTTTTTTGAAGATTTTTGTGTTTCCTTTTGATACTGTGATCCAGGGAAGCATAGCACATCTGCCGCTCAGCTGTTTGCTACAAAAGAGAGCAATTCATATTATTGGACAAATGGCTTCTTTACCTATGAGATATTTCCTAATGGATAACTAATAGGTAAACAGAAAATTTAGTCATCTGAAACAGCAGAAGGTATACAAATTCCATTATTACTGTACTTCATTATGTTTTCAGCAACTCCAGCTATGAGATGGTTGATATATCTTCTGAACTGGATGGGCTATACTGGAAGAATAGTGAGGACTTTATTAAGATTGAACAGATAGTGTAGTGCACTTTCCCAATGTTCAAAAGTCAGGATAGTTTTTCTGGAGCTATGCCAAGCCCTTACAACTGTCAACTTCTTCAGCCAAGCACCAGAGATAATTTTCTTGAAGCTGATTTGCCCAAGTATATTCCTTAGATAAGAGTTGCTTTTGGTGTGAGAACCAAAACAGTTTGCATTACTGAAGCAGATTCATCCTTCCCCTGTCTCCCAGGAGAAGGGGATGGCATCAGAGCCTGTGTGTACAGACAGCTTCTGAAACAAGGTGAGAGGGAAAATTTGCAAAATCCATGGAAGGAGACACTGTCTTCTGTTCTCAGCTTGGGGAAAGGAACTGATCCATCGATTTCTCAGGCAATTTTAGAAGTCCATGGGGTATCCCTTGGCCCATTCAGGGAACCAATACAGCCACTGATAAGGAGTCCAAGCTTTCCTTTGCTTGTTTATATTTTGCATATGTATCAGTATTATATTCAATAAACTGTATATCATCCTTGATACAAGCAGCATTGTTTCATTCTTAGTTCTTCATCATGGGTGGAAAAAGAATATGAATCTCTTTATTTTAGAAAAAGAAAGCAAGCAATAGAGGCTTATTAAAAATAACAGAAAATGAAGCCAAGTGCTGTTCTCGCTTTCATAAAAACCAAGACTCATCTAGTGATATTGATTGGAAGTAAATCAAGGACAAACAAAAGAAAGCTCGGTTCATGAAACAAGTAATGTGTGGCATTCACTGCACCAAAATATAGTGATAGAAGTTAGTTTAAATGACTTTAAAAGGGGATAGGACCAATGGTCTTTCAATGCCTATTGGCACTGATATGCATAGGAAAACTATTTCAGAGGTACTATGCTTCTGAATAGCAGTTACTGAGAAGCAATAGTAAAAGAGGAATACTGCCGTTAAGTCATGCTTGTAGGCTTTCTAGAATTATCTGCTTTGCTGTGGAGGGTAGCAGGATGCAGGACTAGATGGTCCTTTGGTCTGATCCAGCAAGGCTCTAGTTAGGTCTTAATAAATCTTTCACTTATGCCTGAACTACAGAACAGTAACATGCCAGCATCAGTTCCCCACCCTCACCTGGCCATCGTCCTTCAAGTCCTTCCTTCAAACCCATCTTGTTTGCAAACTTTTTGGACTGCCTCCTGTCTTGCTGATACTGAATTGAAGCCTTTGTACATTTAGGTGGAGTGAATACATATTCTTTCTCTGTTTACTTCATCTCCATGTATTTGTCTTCCCTCTGCAGCCTCACCCTGTGTTAAATGTTAGATTGTACATCCCTTGGTGCAGGGGCCCTTTTCCTTTATTTGTTACTCTGTATAGTGCTGTACACATTGATTATGTACCATTATAATAACAATTAGTAACAATCAGAATAATTTAAAATTGCATTTGATCCAAAAAACTGTTAGGCAAACAGATGTTCCCAATTAATATGCAGCATAGTGGTTTTAAATATGTCATAAAATACAATATATTTTAGAATATTCCCTGAACTCTCAACATATTAGGATACAAACATGTCCTGCTGTTATCATTTCATTATACTAATAGGGAAAGCTTACAAACCCTGCTTAGAATGAAAATAATGAATAACAATTAGAGAAATAGAAAAATGTGAGTGGAAGGGGAAAATGTATTGTTGCTGGTCCATGAACTCTTGTATAAATGCAAGCAAAATACTTCATGCAGTATCTTACCAGAATTTGGAGTTCTGCGTAAATATGAAAGATACAGTGAATAAGGAAGATACTATTGGAAGGATTTGCATTGTAGCGAACCAGTACAAGTTAATGAAAAGAGTTTGTGCAAACTGAATGGGAGGGTCACTTTATTGCACAAGACTCTTTAGGTCAGAAGTAATCCTTCTGTGAATGGAAGCAAGATGCTGGTAGTAGTAAAGCACCTGGTTCAAGTGATTAATATGCTCTGAGGAAGAGAAGATTACTATACAATTCTGTTATTTAATTGTATGCAAACAAATCTGATGCAAGGTGCTCATGCAGTATAGAAAGCAAATCCTAAAACTAATTGTAAATACATGGAAATGAAGAGTAATACCTGTACTTCATTGGTGGATGTGTGAGGGTGGGCACTCATTTGTTCGTAGAAGCTTTCATCTGGAAATTATTTGAAAAAAGAAAATTTAAAGAGTAACTAAATCATTTTATCAGTGATTTAGTTGTCCTACACTGAGCTATAATTTCTAATTACTATGCAGCATGGTTTTAAATATGTCATAAAAGACAAATTAATCTTAGAATGCTCCATGAACTAGAAAAGCATTATGATGGAAACATGTCCTGTTATCAGTATTTCATTTTAATCAAAGGGGGGAAGTTTTTCTTTTAAATGTCTAAAATCTGTTGTTGTATCTTATGCAAGGAAATTACAAGCATGCAAGAACTGCAACATTCTGGTCCTTGTCAAAATATTCTTCCTACTCCAACAAGACATGGTTTTGCTGTAAAAGACCTATCTGAAATGCAACTTACTTAGCATCTCTTGATGCCGGCGGTTGACATTGTCATAAACAGGACATTCTTCATTGTAAACCTCACCATTGCTGTAAAATAAATGTTTGCATTGATTGATAGAATCTGTCCTATATTGCATTGCATATGAAAATACCCACAAAATATTTAAAATTTATACATTTTTTCAGAAAGCTGGGGTGAGCCAAAATGGTTCCTCTTCACAGCTGCAGGAGTGGGAGCAGTGAAGCTGTTACTGTCACCCACCATGCTGTTTTGACACAAGTGGAGCAGTGGCAGTGGCTGCGGTTTAGGCAAGCTCGGAAAAAGCAGCAAGGGACTTAACAAGTGGCTCCCTCACCATTGCCCTCAGCCTCAGGGAAAGTTATTGTTCAGGGGTGAAATGGGTCCTGTAGAGTCCATTCATATTTGGACAACACTGGGGGAGAGAGAGAGAAAGATTGGGAGAGAGAGAAAGAAAGAGAACAGGAAGAAGAGGGAATTGGTATCAATCCCTTTTCCATACATACATACACACACCCAACGTGTTCATAGGTCGATTGATTGATTGATTGATTGATTGATTATTAGATTTGTTTGAAGGCCACCCACTAGCATCACACTCTCTAAGACATAGACATATATGGACATCATGGGATCCAACCCAATGTGGCTATGACAGGGGTGCAGAACCCCAGTGACTTAATAGCATTTCAGTGTAGCTCTTTGTGGCTGCGTTCCAGAGATGGACAGGGCTGAGGACAAAGGGGTGGAAGCAAAATACCAGCATGTTTCCACTGGAAGCGCTCCTTGCCACTAATGAAGCCTTTAGAGATGCATTTCTACCTCTTCCAATGGAGAAAAAATGCACAAAAGTCAGGGATCCACCAAACAGTGGTTAGGGAAAAGGGGATGAGGCCCAGAGATGGAGTGTTGTTCTGGGGAACCCCAGAGGGCTGGAAGTCTGAGATTCTTCACTGCTGATTGTTGAAATATATACAGAAGACAGCACACACATGATTAAAAAGAATTATTGCCGTACCTTGGGCCATATTCATGGTAATTTTCATATATTTTACCTGGAAAAGAATTTGAACAATTAGGAGAACTTCAATTGCTAGGCATTCAATATCTTTATGTGATTCTCATTTTTAAAGTACCTTGCTATTTTTTTAAAAAATTAATCATGCTTTGCTCCTTTTTCCCCTAAATAAGTACTGCAGCCTGAAATGATCACTAAATCTGCTAGAGTTAGGATAGCTAGAATATTCTTGGAGAATTTTCAGTAAGATTTTGAAGCATGTTCAGGAAAACATACCGGTACATTGCGTCCCCATGCTAATTAGTGGAAAGGAGTTCCATTCGAAGCTTGTTTGTTGCACGGGTGCCAAAATATTTTGGGCTGGTCCTTGCTGTAGCATTCCTTCTTTAGCATTTCTTCAACTGTGTCTTGTCAGTAAAATTTTAAGGCTATGCATGTGGTGAACATGTAACCAGTTGCCTTATGGGGCCTCTTGAACAAGAAACAGTTTCAAGCAGCCACTGTGCTACAGCAATCAGTCAAAGAGGCTTGGTGTGGCCAAAGAATCACAATTATAAATATGATATAATTATTACTACTCTTCATCAGTGATGGGAATTCAGTTAGTGCAATGTATTTGCTTGGCAATAGAAAAAGTAAGATCTTGGGAGAGCATATATTTTATATTAGATATAATTTAGAAGCTGAGCTTAATCGGATCAGAGATGCTACTATGCAGGGGCGGAAGACATCGGCTAAACCCTGGCTGCAGTTGCACCTCCATTTTCTCTGTGCTTTTGCATAACAATTTCTTGGTAGAAAGAGAGATATCAGATTACTTTCAACAGTGCAAACTAAAAGTACTAGATATTTATTTCTGATGTATTTATTGCAAGAATAGTCAAGATATTTATGAAACTTAGGAATTGTAAGCTAGACCATCCTCCAATATTGTTGCAATATTTTCACATTTGGAACTTGAGTCAACAAATATGGCATCATTGTGTGATTTTTCGGTGGCCCCCTTTAATACATTGTTGAAAACTTTCATATCATAAAAGAGCTTTTAGTTAAAAGTGGACAATTTTACTCAGAAAATATGTGTGCAGCATTCATTAAAGCAGGGAAAAACCACAAGTCATAACAAAAACAGATATGATACAAACAGAAAAGCTATCAAGCTTAAGTATTAAGAACTAGCAAATACCTGGGAGGTGTGTGTATTCTTAACGAAGATACACAAGGGTATATTACAAATACCTGGTTTTTAACAAGTACCAAAACACCATCAAGATCGGTGACTTTTGCACTGCAGGCATTCATTGTGTCTGTCTGTGTGTGTGTGTGTGTGTGTGTGTGACAGGAGTTAAACTTGCCGATGAAGCATTTATTTCTATCTTATTCTTTCTATAGTCATAAAGCATTTTATAAAAATTCCATTTTCAGAGGCGGTATGCTTTGACTATCAGTTGCCAGAAAGCCTCAGTTGGCTAATGTGAAAAACAAGTTGCAGGTCAAGATGGAACTTTCCATCAGTTCCCCTAAGCCCCAACCAACATGGCCCATGGTAGGGGAATACGATCCATTGGGTCAATACTTCTGGTCCATGGAATTTATGCCTGGCAGCAGTTAGGCATCACATATGTGCCTAATACATGGGCGATTTTTAACTCAGCGGTGGGCAACTTGTGGTCCTCCAGATAGATATTTTGGCCTACAGCTCTCATGTTCTCTAAGCACTGGCTACGACCAGGGCTGTTTGTTTGTTGTTTTGGAAGGCAACAGAACAACCAAATTCTGGGCCATATTCCAGACTGAGGGCCAACTTTGCAGGTGGTGAATGGAGGTGGTGGTGGCCAGTGCCACAACAGACCTCTGAGTCCTCCTAGCCAGCATCAAGAGCTGCACCCACCTGCCCAACGGCAGCTAGGAGCGACACGCACGAAGCAGCATGCCAGTACCTAGCTCTGAAGACTTCTCAGTCATTGTCTTGCCTTCCACACGGGGCACCCAAGGGGGAGAATGCCCAGCCCAGCTTTCTGGAGCACCATCCACCCATCGCCTGTCTCTGAGAATGTCTCAGAGTTGAGCACGTGGCAGGACAGTGTCGCGCGAGTAGTTTCTCTGCTGCAGCAACTTCCAGAGCAGAAAGCACCCTGTGAGGCTCCTCAGAAAGCCTCCCTGCCCACAGCCGCTCACATGCATTGCTGTCGGGAGGTGGCCTGTGCCACACAGTGCCCAGGACCACTGTCACCCAGAAGGCCTCACTAGGAAGGACTCTTTACACGTTCATGTGGCAGTGACTGGTAGGGAAGCAAGGAGCATAGAGGGTGCCAGTGGCAGTGGAAAGGGAAGGAGCAAGAGATGACGGGGAATGCACAGCGAAAACAAAGCAAAGGGAAGGCAAAGAAGGGGGAAGAAGGTTATGGAGGGGGCAGCTGCTGTCACAGGTGGGCATGAGAGAGGAGAGAGGATTTGTGGGGCACCAAAATCCCAGTTTGCTTAGAGAACCAAACTAGGTTGAGATGGGCTTGGCTGGGAGTGTTGGGAATTGTAGTCCAAAACTTCTGGAGGGTCACAAGTTGTCCACTCCAAAGTTTGCCTGAAGATGTCTGGAACTAAACCTGTGGCCTTGTGTATGCGGATCCTATGATCCAGCATGGAGGTATCACCCCCTACCTTTAGATCACCCACATATTGATATGGCATTTCAGATATTGCATATGATCAATCCAGCCACATACAGCCTTAGAGGAAAACACCGATGAGCTATTTATGACTTTATGTTTGTGCAACATGGATACTTCTATTTATTGTGTCAAATATCAGACACTTTGGGCAGGATACTTACAATCACACTTACCCCTTCATGAGTTCAACCCTGCAGTGCCCCTTACCTTTTCGTTTCTTTTCTTTTAAGCAGTATGAAATATTTGTCAGTAATGAAATGATCATAATTGCACTTATAACACCAAGAGGAATCCAGCAAAAGATACACAAATCTGCATTCATTTCTGTAATAAAAACAGTCACACACATAAAAATACAATCCAGTATAGAGTCAAGCATGCTGATTTCCCACTATAATTATTTAGTAATTTAAACTTAATAGGCCTTATGAACATAACTGTGTTTAGCTGTGTCCAGAGGCTCTGATTATGCTTCTTATGCACCATTAGGGGCTTTGGCTATCCATCAAATTCAAGAGATTTCAAATGATTGTTCTGTGTATTTGCTAAGGATGGGCAATTTCAACTTGATGCTATCCACTGTCAGTAACACTTACAGGTCTACTTGTTGTGTTGAGCTTTTCTAACTAGGACATTAATAACTACTGTGCATCTAGTAACATTGTTAAAACAAGAGCAAAATAAATTGACAGACACATTAAAATGCTGTGTTACTTATAACAGCCCAGTTTGTAAGATCATGAGGTGCTTGTTAAGTCTCAGCACAGCTTAACATGTCATACAAACCTGGCCAGGGTTTCTTGTTAATATGGGTAAAAAGCTGCCCAGAACTTCACAAGAGCACTTGGGTTCAGGGCAACTGGTTATCCATGGTAATAAGCCATTCTGGCTGTGTTCACATGATACAACAAACTATACTAATTGAGATAATTATACTAACTTCTCTCCCCACTTGGTCTCATTTCTGCAGCCATGATAAATAGTTAATAACTACCTCAAAATTCAGTGCTAACAGCTGAATACTGCAGCCTGCCTAAACAAAGTAAGTTTGCTTTTACTTTCTTGTTTTGTGTAATTAGGAACACAGAAACGGAGAAACAGAGCGAGTCAGAAAGGTCCTCCTGGGCTATCTAGTATGACCCCTGGCTCCAGCTGGCTCCATGCACGACATGCCTACCATATGCATGTCTAGAATATCCTTGAACACCCTCACCGATGGGGCCTCAACCACCTCCCGTGGAAGCCCATTCCATACCCTCAGGGTCCTAACTGTCAGGAAGTGTTTCCTGGCATCCAAATCGAACCTCGGTTCCCTGAGCTTGGCTCCATTGGAGTATGTTGTGTTCTCCTCTGCAGGGGAGAACAGGTCTCTACCCACCTCCATGTGGGTAGAAACACCCCCTCTATACCCCCTCACGTATCTATATGTCACCAGCAGATCCCCTCAGAGTATCCGCTAATTGATACTGTTTGTAGCAGTCAAAGGTAGAGATGTAAACTGTCCAGAATTTCTGAAGCTGCTTGAGTGGAGTGAGCAACGAAGTATATTTTCTCCACCATTTTTGAAATCGAAAATAGGCATTAAAATGCATGCAAAAATATTTATTTAAAGCCGAGATAAGCATTGTACCCTTAAATGTGTATAAATTAGTTTCTTGTGCTCAAAATACATAGTTTAGCAAGATCTTTAGAACAACCAAAATGTCACAAAATTGTGAATCAGATTTCATATTCTAAAGAACTCTACATCAGGCTGGTTCGTAAACATTGCAGAGGGTATAGACGGAAGGGTGGGTAAAGCAAAAAGTTGGCTTGATGAAACCACAAAGTCAGTATTTAGATGCAATCTTAAAATGGTGTATAAAGGAAGATACAGCAGAGACTGCATAAAGTGACATTATGTTCAATGGGAATTTAATCCCAGGAACATATGTGTAGGAGCATAACTTTAATTGGATTTGACTCTACTAGGTGCTATGCAGGTTTCAGGCTGTACCTAATGGTGATGGCCCATTTTTTGATCAAATAAAAACCAGTAGCTACACCAAGATGTCCCCAGTGAAAGTCACAAGCAAAGCAAATGGGTTCCTTACAGAAGCAAAGAGAAAACACAGCAGTTTTTATATTAGCCAAGCTGGAGAGTAATTTTGGATGGCGTACAAATAGTCCATACTTTAAAATCTGGATATTCAAAATTTGCTGTTAAATTGTACTTTTGATGTTGTTATGAAATTTAGAAATATAATTGCTTTCATTTTATTCAGAAAGAAGCACCCCTTGTACTAAAAAATGGAACCAAAACCTGCTGCATCTGAAGGTTACTGCACATGCCTTAGAAGTGAAAATTCAGGAGTTAAAAATAGAAGCCATGATTAATATGTTAGTAAACAGAATTATGTGCCTTATTATCTGGATTTAAATAGTTTTGTTACTGTTAACATTACCTAGATATAAAAGACACTCTTTAAAAAAAAATCCACCCCAAAACAGAGAAACCTTAATTTTCAGAGGAAGATGAATGGACGAATTCTGGATACTGAATTAAACTTTATAAACACATTGCCTTCTCAATAGCAACAATCATCAAACACATTGGCATCGATAAAAAATTAACCTTATTATATACATAAAATCCCAACTGAACAATAAGAATCCTTGAAAAATACTACTATTTCAACTTTCAGTGTGGCCAAGTGCAAGGTCAATGCATTCAATGCAGATAAGTACAAGGTCTTGCACTTGGAGTGTAGGAATGGGTGTCATAAGTACAAATTAGGGGACCAGTGGCTGGAGAGCAGCACTTGTGAAAAGGGTCTCGGGGTGCTGGTCTATTGCAGGCTAAACATGAGTCAGCAGTGTGGTGTGGTGGTCAAGAGGGCAAATGCTATCCTTGGTTGCCTAGCCAGAAGCGTAGCTTCTAGATCGAGAGAGGTATTGCTGCCACTCTGTATGACTCTGGTGCACCCGCAGCTGGAGTACTGTGTTCAGTTTTGGGGCCCTCATTACAAGAGGGATTTAGCATGATGGAATCAGTGAAGTGAAGGGCCACAAGGATGGTGACTGGTTTGCAGGGTAAGCCATATAAGGAGAGACTGAGGGAACTGGGTCTTTTCAGCCCTGAGGAGACTCAGAGGGGACTTGTTAGTGACATGTTAGGTATGTCAGGTGGTGTCATGTGGAGATGGGCTGTGGCCATTTTTCCCCTGCAGATGAGCCCAGGACACATTCCAAAGGAGCAAAGCTCAGGAACCAAGATTCAAGGTGGATGCCAGGAAGTGCTTCCTGACAGTTAGGGCCACAAGGGTATGGAATGGGCTTCCACAGGAGGTGGTTGAGACCCCATCGGTGAGGGTGTTTAAGGATAGGCAGGACATGCACATGGTAGGCATGTCATGAGCTGGGGGTCAGATTAGATGGGCTGGGAGAACCCTTCTGACCCAGTCTTTTTCTATGTTTTTATGTTTCTATGTTTCTTCCTTTAAATCAGATACAGTATCTCAAAAGAACAGATATTTCCAAATATGAACTTTCCCTTTTTTCTCAACAGATTTATGGTAACTGAGGGATTGTACAGATTTTTTAAAAGAAAACATTCTCATCTCTTTCACATGTCAGCTTATTTCTCAGCTTGCTCTGTGTCTTTCCAAGAAAATCAAATTCTTTTCCATGCTGCAGAAGATGGAGAAAACTGCAGAGATGATTTGCATGATTTGCATTGTCTGCAGTTGTATGTGCCTGCAATTAAACAGGAATCATCACATTGCTTTAAGCTGCTGGGTTTGGGTAAGAGTTTTAATGAAACCAGAAGGACTGCTGGAAATTTACTTTCATGACCCTGGCAAGCACCTCCTTTGTGCTCACCCCTTTTTTTACAGACTTCTAGTGGTTTGGTGATTTCCCTGCTTTTGCATGTGTTTTCTTGCATTCTGAAAGCCATTTTGAAATGGGTCTTCTAAGGCTTAATTACTGGCAGGAGAAGCTTGGCCTTGTAGAAGTGACTCAAGGCCAAGCTAAATATCACTTTTAACATGTGCATGTAATCATGCCCACTCTTTCTTTTTCAAAAGTCAGTCTAAGGGTCCCAATCCAGATATCTCTCTATGCACTTATCTAGACATCTATCTCTCGAACCATTTTTCTCCATGCATTTTCAACAATGCATTTCCTGTTTCTGAGTAATCTATAAGGGGACACCCTAGCCTATTTAAACAAAGACCTATTGTTTGAAAGACTGGTGTTTGTGCTCACTTATATATCTTGCTGTCTCAAGGGTCATCAGTCTCTGGTTTCCTTTTGTGAAGGCAGGAAGGATGGCTAGTTAGGAGAGACAAATCATTTTGCTGGACAGAGATCTTGATCCCAGGACCACTGGTTGCAAGGTTGCTGGAAGGATTTACAGAGCCAAAATAGAAGTAAAGAGGCAATCTTATTCATGCATAGACAGAAATAAGTCATACAGTTCATAGCATGCCTCAGCTAGCATGCAGAGAATTGTATGTTTCATACAGAAATGCAGTGTGCTTTGCATATTATGTTGAACAAAAATAACAAGGCAAGGGAAATGTTTGGAGGCACTGTAGAAAAGTCCCCAAGTTGCCCATGGTCTGACTTCAGAAATGTAGAAATCTAATGTGTCAGAATCAAAGCAACTATTTTTTTTCAGTTACTTGGGAAATGGTATGCATGGGATGGTTCATGATCTGTGCATGACAGGTGTCTTGTGTTACAGGTTTATACAGAGAGCCCCAAAATTATGCTTGGCTCCTGAAAGTTTTCCCCAAGTCGTACATCTACTCTGACCATTTAATGGTTGTTACAAAGCATTTAAATGTAATGGAATAAAAACTTGATTTCAAAAATGTTTCATTAATCACTCAGAAACATAAGGGTTTTGTCGTCTTTAAATGAACCTTTTCCTTGTTTTTATCACTATGTTTAGATGCAGTGTGCTGTGTCTCATTGTTGTTATGGTTTTTGTTCTTTGTTCTTTTTTTTTTTTTTTGGTCTTTGTAAACCATCCACAGACTTTTTTAGTAATGGGACAGCAAAGAAAAAAACTTTAAATAAATAAATATTGGGTGGAATTTTAAAAAAGAGAACTGCCAAACTGCGTTTTTTCTTCCCCTTTATTCCTTTGCACCTTCACACTGTAGTTCTAAATAGCACTGAAACCTTGACTTCTGACCACTGGAAATCCTATTCCGATACAGCTCACTCATCCCATCTTTGCATCACTTTTTTAAGTGCTGACCACATGCTTTCAGATTTATTTTTAGAGCATGGAAGGATAGATTTTTTTAAAAAAATGTGAGGGGGAAAAGCTCTTTAAGCATTTACTCCATACTGATTTCAGTCTGCAATGCGTTCTGTTTCCTTCATTTCATTTGACCTACTTACTATATTTATAGCCTGCCTTGCTTCTGCAAGGAACCCAGTAGGCTTACAAAATCTGCTTTCTCTCCATTTTATCCTTTCAAGAGCCGTGTGAGGCCAAGGTAGGCTGAGAGAAGGACACTGGTCCAAATCACCCAGTGAACTTTGTGTCTGAATGGGAACTAGAACCTGGGTCTCCCAGATCCCACCAGCCCCTACATCACACTGGCTCACACAGGCTGTAGAATAAGGAATACAGACAGCCTTCCGACTGACTTTTCATGACACTTGAGCATGGGAAAGAACAATGCATCTTCACAGCAGAAACAATATCTCTATCTTAAGGGCCAAGCTAAACCTAATCTTTTCTGTGCAATCTGTTCATCCATTGTATCCACTTTGGGGTTCATTGCAGAATTGAGATCCAGGCACTACTCAGAAAATGTTTCCTTCCCAGTTTTTTTGTTACATAACCTCTAGCTGGTTCTGTAGTGGAACAATGCAAATACATGAGTGAAAGCGGTGCATTCTTTACTTTTACAATTAAATATCACATTTTCCCTGCTCTAACAAAACTCACTGAAAGTGATAATTAGACACAAAACTGGAGGGTCATGATATCATCTAAAGAACAGATAAACAACAATTTAGGGGATGATGAGTGTGTGATACATGCTTTGTATGGAAAAGCCTAATATCTTTCCTCTTGCTCAGCACAGGAACATGAGAAGCTGCCTCAGACTTGTTCTGTCTAGCTCAGTATATCTATAGTGACTGGTCATGGCTCTCCAGAAGTACAGAAAGACGCACTTCTCCTCTTTATCTGGCATTGCTGGGGATTGAAACTGGGGTCATCTACTTGCAAAGCACATGCTCAGCCCCTGAGCTACAGGAGGAAACTTGGAAAGTATGTAGCCAAATGGCTTAGACAACATTACTCCCGGCACTGGTTTTCCTCTCTGCTTTAGTTTTCCGCCTCTCTGGCTCCATTTTGTTTTTTTCTTAGCCACTTTCCAGCTCAACTTTTCTTGAATGTTTACATTTTCAGCTACTACCTACTTAGCAGAAGAAGTGTAAAGAAGTTTGAAGTTCAAATGCTGCCTAAGGATTCCTTCAAATAAATATTTCTTAATTTCAGTATTTTCATTTTAAAATAGTGTTATCCATCCATTTGCTGTTGGGAACAACTGATGTATCATTATTCCACAGGGATTTATCTATGGGAAAAAGGCAATTTTGCATCCACCCATCAGTTGCTACTTTGAGGCAAAAATTGGACTTCTAATTGCACAACTGCAATTAAAAAAATCTTTCCTCAAGTGCTTTAATGAAACTATAGGGCTTCTGTGATTGAGAATTTGGAGCTGCATAACATAACAGCAGGACAGAATTTTATTCATTCATATTCATTCAGATTTTAATGTTGTCAACAAGCTTATTGTTGCCTCAGTTTTCAGAAAGGGAAATAATGGAGAAAACTGGGAACTACAGACCAATTAACCTGACATTAGTCCCTGGAAAAATTCTAGAGCAGATTATAAAGCAAAGTACTAGTTTCCCTTTACTCAATGCTGGTTAGGCCTCACCTGGAATCCTGTGTCCAGTTCTGGGCACCACAGCTTAAGAAAGATGCAGATTAGCTGTAACAGATTCAAAGGAAGGCAACAAGGATGATCCAGGGATTGGAAACAAAGCCCTATGAGAAGAGTTTGAAAGAAAAGCAGGTTGCTTACCTGTAACTGATGTTCTTTGAATGGCCATCTGTGCAGTCACACATATCGGTGCTGCGCTTGCACAGTGCCTTTGGCTGGAAGATTACAAGCTAATGGTTTTTGGCGGGAAAGCTCCGCTCCCCCATGGCCTATAAGGAGCGGAGCATCTGCCATTTTGTTCAGTCTTTGACGACCGAATGTATGTCCCCATGTGGAAAAAATATTCCTACTGTAAACTATATCAGTACCAAGAAAAAATGGAAACGTTCGGTACCGACGAAAAAGTCCACTCACTGACACTGAGCGGAGCCGGCGGGTGGGTTGCGTGACTGCACAGATGGCCACTCGAAGAACATCAGTTACAGGTAAGCAACCTGCTTTTCTTCGTCGTGGCCTCTGTGCATCACACATATGGGTAGATTAACAAGCTTACCATCAAAGGAGGAGGGAAGGTGTCCTCAACGAAGAACAGATGAAAGAATGGTTCTGCCAAAGGAGCAATCTTGTCGAGCCCGAACATCTAAACAATAATGTTTGGCGAAAGTGCAAGGGTTTGCCCAAGTAGCAGCCTGACATACATCATCAATCGGGACTCCCGATGTGAAGGCAGATGAGGAAGCAACAGCCCTAGTCAAATGGCTTCAAGGAGCTGTGGGTAAGTCAATCTTACCCAGTTGATAAGATAAAGTGATAGTATGGACTATCCACTTAGAAAGTCTCTGAGGAGTGACAGGAGCGCCTTGATCTCTGGTAGCATATTTAACGAAAAGTCTATTTGAGCGCTGAATAGATTCCGTCCTAGATCTGTAGAAGGCTAAGCAGCGCCGAACGTCAAGTGAGTGCAACGATCTTTCTAACGGAGTCGACGGAGACGGAAAGAAGGCAGGTAACATAATATCTTGTCCCATATGAAAAGGTGTGGACACCTTAGGGAGAAAGGATGGATCGAGCCGCAGGATGACCTTTTCTCTGTGAAAATTTAGGTAAGGGGGGTCTATGCAGAGAGCGCAGAGCTCACTGGCCCTTCGGGCTGAGGTAACCGCCACTAGAAACACTGTCTTCCATGAAACAAGACGTAAATTGACTGTTGCCAATGGTTCGAAAGGAGCTCTTTCAAAACAACAGAGACTCCAGGTAGGCATTACTGGCCTGACTGATGGATTGAGATTATAAAGACCCTTAAGAAACCTCTTAATAGTAGGTTGAAAGAAGATGGGTGATCCATCCACCATGCCACGATGATAGGCGATTGCCGCCGTATACACTTTAATTGAAGATGGTTTCAGTCCAGAGTGGTGCAGTTCTAAGAGGAACTGAAGAATCTGATGTATCAATGATGTAAATGGAGAGAACGAACGAGACTCAGCAAAGGTGGAAAATCGTCTCCATTTAGCCGCGTAAGACTTCTGTGTAGATGGCTTTAAAGTGGAATCAAGGATGTGTTGAATATCCAGATGAAAGGTTGTTGGATTTGGTGGAACAATCGTCGGATCCGACAGTGCTGGTGGATCGAAAGAGGAAGCAGCACCAGCCCCAGCGGATTCGAAAGCCCTGAATGCAGCGGATTCAAAGGCAGGATTCGAACCACTTGAAGTTGCCGTTGATATAGATGGAGCAAAGTTAGTTAACAGATTTGCCACGCTGTTAGGTTCAACAATAATACATCTGGATGGCGAAGCGTGCCGTCCTGTTGGGTTATGAGGTACGGAAACAGTGGAAGATGAAGGTATTTCCCGTGAGAGATGTTGAGCAGTGTGGCAAACCAATGTTGGCATGGCCACCAAGGGGTAATTAGTATCCCCGAGGCCCGATTGTATACTATCTTCGCTATTACTCTTATCACAAGAGGAATCGGCGGGAAGGCGCAAAAGTTCAGGTTGTTCCATGGGATCATGAAGGCATCCCCTAGGGATCCGTACCCGATTCCCGCTCTCGAACAGAAAGCGTTGCACACCTTGTACTGTTGGGTGGCAAACAAGTCTACATCGGGGAACCCCCAGCGATGAAAAAGATTGTCATGTGTCTGAGGATCTAGCTCCCATTCGTGAGAGATAAACACGCGCCTGCTGAGGAGGTCCGCTTCCACATTGTCCGTGCCAGCCAAATGGACTGCCATTAGTGTAATGTCTCTCGAAATGCACCAGTCCCAAATCTGCATAGAAAGTCTGGCCAGAGTCGGGAGTGCCACCTGGTTTGTTCAGATAAAAGACGGTGGCTATGTTGTCCGACGTTATCTGAACGATCTGATGTTGGAGAACATCCTCGAAAGAATGTAGGGCTTTGAATACCGCCAACAGC